AGAAATTAAGACCCCTTGACATCTCATCTCGACCCCTTAGGATATTTAGATGATTCTAGACTCATTGACTCTTAAACACATTTTTACATGACTTGTCGACCCTTAGTTGGGTAGACACGTCGACCCCTAAATCAATGTTGTACTTAATAAGGCCATTTAAGTACTTTGAGAAATGATTTAAAGAAAATAGTAAATATCTTATTATAATAATTATTTTCATAACAAGATCCGACAAAATGTTGAAAACGTTATTTTTAATTTATTTAATGTTGTGTTACAAAGCAGTTATAAACTTTTAATTTGTGTCTTTTTTTTAAGCTGGGACATTATTGATTCGAGGTTCCAGACAAAAAGTGAAGTAATAATAATAATAATTATTTATATTAATAATTACTGATTTGTGCATTGTGTGTTTATTCATATTTACAATTTTAATTAGTTTGTAGCGATTTAGATTTTTTCCCGCGAGAAACACGTGTTATATCGGCGATGAATAATTACACATTTCTACTTCATTAATGTTATATATTGAATTGACTTGTCCTTAGTGCGGAGAAACGGTTATTTTATTTTCATTCCATAACCATTATGATGAAAAAAAAGAAACCAAAATACAAATCAATAATGGGTCCTAATTTGAAAAAAAAAATCTGTATATTTTACCACTACAATGTATATTATGACAGTTATGTAGAATCGTAGTTATATAAACTGAAAATAATACATATATGTCCGACTCATGAAATAAATGTTTTTTTTTATTAATTATAACTACATTTTTGAGACTGTTCATTTTTGAAAAAAAAATCAATTATTGCTACAAGCTTTTTTTCCCCAATATATGTGCGTGCCATTATCGACACTTTGTCATTATATATTACAAATAACACTTTAACATGACTTGATTTCACTTGTAATTCAATTTATATTAAATTATATATACTAATCAAACTTGTAAAAAAGAACACTTTTTAACGTCTTTTTGCAAATTCATTATTCATTAAGGAACATCTTTATGTACACTATAGAATAAGAGGTCAAAATGTCCAGTCAATTAAAGGCGTCTAAGTGTCTTTGTGGTCAAAGTGTCATGGGTCTAGGTCGGGGTGTCAAGGGGTTGACATGTCATAGTGTCATTCATTCATTTGGAAAACAAAGCTATAACACATATATCCTTGTTATGAGATGTACAATTATGTCAAAACTTAAACTGTCAGGGTTATAAAACTTCACACATACATGCACACACACATGCTCACACGCACGTAAGCGCATGCACACACATCCATACGCACGCACGCACGCAGACACGCAGACACGCACACACCCACACATACACACACACTGTCATTTTGCATTGATATAAGTATAGATAATTTCCCTCTCCTAATAACAAAGTTTTACCACCAATCATAGCAAAGAACAGTGAATATTCTATAAGAAAACCTTAATAGTCAAAGTTAACTTGATTTTCATAAAGGTCTTGTTCAAAAGGATCTTTTAGAGCGAAGACACTCCATTCATAAATAACACATTCATTTGCCAGTCACAGCAATGAAAAATAGAAAACATTAAATAATTTGACCATACAGCAGAAGGTCATTTATGACTCAATGTGAAGGTCTGTCTAATCAACTGAAGAAACTTTTCAAAAGAATATTGTGTTCCAGAATGAAGACAGTTCATTTAAGAGAATAAAGCTATAGCCACTTTGATACATTTCCCGATATCTTTCAAGTTAAAAAGGGGCTGGCATTTAGATGTTAAGCATCAACCCCCGCAAAAATAAACAAATACACTCAATTTCATTTTGATACTTAGTTTTCGCCCATTGAGACATGTTTGCACACAAAGCCACCTTTTGGAACATTTCTGATTGATTTACCATCAAATTTCAATAATTTATTAACGAAAAAAGGTGTAATTTCAAATATTTATTCAATAATAAAAGGCGTACTCATTTATCTAAATATCATTTTCACCAGGGATTTCAAATGCAATCAGGGATTTACAATGTAATGTTTATTGTATGAATGCATGTGATATTTTAACTTAAACAATACTCATTGCACCAGTATTATCATAGTTAAAACAGTTTTTATAAATAATTCAGTGAATTTTCAGTGAAAATGTTAATCGAATAATTTTATTGCAATCCTGCGCTAAATAAGTTATGCATCATTGGTTGGATAGTCAGACCTTGTCATTTGCTATTTCTTTATAATGCAGCTCTCTGCTTTAAAATCTTCTTCCTACTCTTACTTTGTCATATGATCATAATATTATGACTGATTAATTATTTTGAATTACATGCAAAGTTGTTTTGTAAACAAAACTAATACTTTGTCAATTGGTCAATAATTTTAGACATCATTAAAATCCTTGGTCAAAACTCAAAATGGTGATGAACAAAACTTTTGTTGATGGTGTCATGGTATTGAATAGTTACTTATATTAAATTAACATTTACTTATTAGCTATCTCAGACAGCAGAGCTGCTAAATGGTATTCCAAGGGTTCTTGGTTCGATTCCGGTCCGGCACATTTTATTCAACCCGAGACTTTTGACACCCAAAGGGGGATTGTGATTTTATATTATGTATGCAGCTCAAAAGTCAATTAGAAATGTTAATTATCTGTGCCCAAAGAAAAGGATAAATTTTCAAGTGCAAAGTGTGTCAAAGTAAAGCACTATTCACTACATTAAGGGGAGAACATGTGAATGCTGCCTGACCAGTGAATGAGTTGTGTAACATAACAGTGTGCCTAGAGTCCCTGGTTTTCTGTACCGACTACATGATTTTGGAATCAGCGGTGAGAGAAATTGACAAATAGAATCAATGTCACTGAAAAATCGCGCCTCGTCAGAAGATCGAACCATCGACCACTTGATTACAATCCTCCTATCGATGCACTGCTTATTTAGTCAGGGTTATTCGAAGGTAAAATTGAACAACAATTTTTTGGGATGTATCGGTTGAACAACTGTACTGATATCAAGTTTATAGTATGATGTTTATGGTAATTTACAATAATTATTAATTTTGTATGATAAGAGTAAAGATGTAAAACAGAATATTCAATTTACCAACGCACACTGTAATTAAATAATTAAATAGAAGTTGATGAAATACAACTCATCCTTGTATGGGTAGGTCTGTGGAGACTTTGGGTTGGATATTTATGTTATGTTTGAATAATCATTGATAGCAAACTGTTTGTAAAGTTGTTTAACGATGAATTCAGTGCTTTTAGTTGTATTTACAATGTTTAATTTGTTTGTATTCTTTTGCAATGTTTAATACTTTTGTTTTCTTGTAATTTTTAATATGTTTCTTTCTATTTTGCAATGTTTAATACCTTTGTTTTATTGCAATGCATAATATGTTTCTCTTTCTTGTGCAATGTTTTTCATTACCTTTGTTTTCTTGAAATGATTAATATGTTTGTTCTCCTTTTGCAATGTTTTTGTACTGTTTAAACGTTTGTTATTTTTGCAATGTTTAATACCTTTGTTTTCTTGAACTGTTTCATATGTTTGTGTTTCTTTTTCAATGTTTAGTATCTTCGTTTTCTTGCAATGTTTTTTTTACAATGTTTTATAGGTTTTGTTGTCTTTGTAATCATTATCTATGAGGGATTCTACTCAATGAGCAATATCAGTAACACAAGTGCCGTATCCACATCCTACGCGGATATGCTAATTTGATTATTATAACGTGACTATCAAATTAATAGTATATATACACTTGTAATATACAATTTATAACCTCTTCTTCGATTGCTTTTCTATAAACCAAGCATCCTTGTGCGAAACGTTGCGGTTTCGTTGCTAATAGCCAATCAGAAGACTCGTTACAAAATACTGAGCAGCTGATTTACAAAGGCGTAGAAAACGACCGAAAAACCGTGGAGAGGTTTAAAAATGCTACTGATTGTTATGAGTGGTCCCTCTAAATGTATTTAGTAATGTTATTTATTAAATGTAAGTGCTTTTGACCCGTACTCGGTTGACAAACATGTATTAGTCTTTGTACCGAATCGTTTTGTCGCACGAATGCGCTCTTTTCCTGATAAATATTTCATGAATGGAAAAGGGTCGTTCTCAAACGTGAAATAATGATAACTGTTTTTTTTTGGTCTGTTTTCATAACGGCCCAGGAAATGAACCCCTCGCTCGTGGCTCGAATTTGGAGTTTCCGGCCTTCTCTTTATTTACAGCATATTATCAAGGGGGCTCATATTTCACAATTTGTTTGGATTTGACACATTTAAGATGAACACAGGGTTTTTTTTATCAATCTGGTAATTTTTTTTCCTAGGTCCGATACTCGTGCCTATGATTCAACAGTCTGTTCGGTTGTTAGGTCTTTGACGGTCTTCGATTTTGAAAAATGTACAACACATTCATTATTCGATTTTATCAAAATGAATTTCAGGCACTTACTTTACGTAATTATGTTCCTTTTTATGTAAGTATCAACAGGCCTTGAAATAATCTGCCATTTTATATTACGTCGGTGGGTCGAGAACAAAGTGACCGCATGAGTGGCGGTGTATTGGTTTTTACTCCGGATCACGGCATTAAGCCACTTTACCAGAGCACAGTTCAGCCACCACATGGTTCCTGGGCAGGCTGTCAAGCAATTACCAGAACTTGTTGTAGGAACTGAAACTTCTGTACATGTGCGACCAGAGGTATTGCGCAATTAAACGTAGAAGGGATTTCATCGAACCCGGGTCGCCCGGTTCATAGCCCAACACTTTACCTAACCGGGCGGCTTGACCGCATGAGCGGTCACTTTTGTTCTTATGGGACCGCTAAAATTACGTGATGTATAACTATTTATGATTACCCTGTCGTTATCTCTTCAATCTTTGCACTTTATACTTTAAACTTGATATATCTTTGATTACAATAATTTTTAGTATGAATAATGTTTAGTATGCTGTTGTAGAAAACATACCAAGCAACACATTTGTTTTCGTTTTTATTCAAAATGGTTTGCTGCTTTAAACTGGCAATATTCCTGTTTGTCGGATGTGTTCTCGGAGATCAGGGGGACACGATAGATGCGAGAGTTTTGAAGTTAGAACAAGAACTTGTCAAGTTACAGAGTCAGGTTGATAATCAAAATGATGGTACGTATTCTTACCATTTACTTGCAAAATTTGTGCTTTATTTATATGCTTTAAATGTTGCCTTTGAGTCCTTTTGCAGATTAAGGGAATTCGAAATCATTCATTATCAAAGTACAAAATTTGACATACCAATAGTATATGGTCCCGTCAAACTGCAGGAATGTGCTGTCTTGTCATACTCTGTACATGCAGCAAAGAGTAATGATATCTGTCATATGTTACGGTTCGGATTAGAATATCCGTCCCGAACGGACACGCCCATTTGCCGCTAACGAGGCAACAGATATTCCTATCCGAACCGCAAACATATGTCAGATACTCTTTCTTGCATATGTCACATTTCATCATTTTTTAAATTCTTTCCCTTAATAAAATAATTGTCAAAGGTAATGTATGTCATTACACCCGTAGCTATTTTTACAACAGCGTATGAAATTACGACTTCATTCATAAGGGCGAAATTACGTCATCCTTACATGTAGTTTCATGCTTAAATACAGTTCGTTGATAAAATGCGCTAAAAAACGCCATTGTATAGCACACTTCTCATCTGGCAACCCCATGCCAGATGAAATTTCCTGCATAGGTAAAACCAACGGAACCATCAGTACTCGTACAGCACATGTAAGAAATTTCACAAGGAACAGTACGTTACAATTTGATTTCGGTTTGAAACAAATCACTCTTTCACCACACAGCGTGCTCGGACTACAACAAATTGACGTCAATTACGACAGTTCATAAACATTTTTTTTTAGGTATTCACCGGCGTTCTCGATACATTTATGTGTGTCAGCAAACCCATGTGTTAAACCACCAATCCGATGAATTTCTGTCTAGTATTGATCGCGTTGCACAGCTTGAATGATTAAACATATGACCTCACACTTTGACGTAAGAGTCGGGAAGACAAAAGAATCTATCGGCGTTTATCATTTTCGAGCTTATGATTTTAGGCCGTCCCCTTCTAGTGTGATCTTCAAGTGGCCGTCTATACCGTCTCTATAATGCTTGTAATACTTGTATTATCACTTGTATAACATCGTTCGTTTCTAAATGCAATTTAAATTCGCCTTTGTAAGCATCTGTCCTGTCGTTGCAGTGGATTTTTATACAAAGTTTAACATTCGCAATTTGCTCCGTCAAATTGGATGTTTCATTTTTTACTGTTTCCTTTTTTGAGTAATATCGATGTTATGAATCAAAACTTCTTTAAGCTGTTGTACCATGAGGTGGTTTTAATATAGACGTATTTGAAATGAATATTGATTTGGCATAATTTTAACAGCATGATTTGGACCAAAAATATAATGTCATCTTATAAAATATGTCTATGTTTGAAGAAAATATGCATATGTGTTGTGCCGTAGGGTCACGCGTGAGGCAGTTTTAACGCAGAAAAAAATATCTCGACGCAGTTGAACAGACTATTAATTTGGCATAATATTAACAACATAATTTTGACAAAAATATAATGTGACCTGATTAAATAAGTCAATGTTGAAACAAAATATGCATATTTCCGTTTCACCTTTTTAATAGGCCCTCTTACATTCATTAAAACACGTGAAGTGCTATTTAAGTTATTTTTGCTTTTTCCATGAAGCGAGAATATGACAGTGGCATTTTCAGCAAGCCTTACAAACACTATTTCAAACATGGGATCACATCAGCAGATTGTCTTTGATAACGTGATCACAAACGTTGGCAACGGATATAGTCTCACGGGCATTTTACCGCATAAATTAGAGAGTCTACATTTTTTTCGTTGTTATAACAAATGATCCGAGGTATTCCTCAAGCATTCAGCTTTTAAAATATGGGGGGTGGATTGGCAGTGCGTTAGCGCATGGAGGTTATCAAAATAGTGACCTCTTTGTAAGATAGACGATCGCTGCAACAGTGGAGTTACAAACGGAGGATGAAGTGTGGGTTCAAAATGAGTATTCTTTTTCATCTGTAGAGGAGCTTGACGGCTCAGGGTTTTCTTCATTTTCAGGACATCTTATCGCTGTCATGTAAAAACTATTTTATGCCACAGTTATAGTTGTAAACTGTTAAGTATTATATACTGTCGCTGTATAACACAAAAAACAGTCACCTGAGTATATGTTTTCAATATGTCGATCTTGAATGATCTACTAGCATTTGCTTTTCGGTAAGTCATGAAAGTATAGTCATTAAAATGTGTTGCTGTCATAAATCACGCCAACTCTTTATAGAATGACCAGCTCGAATGTGAACTTGGTAAGGTCATCAGCATAAAGTTCCAATTATATAAGGACTGTGAATGACAAGCAGAAATGTGATACTTGCACGGCATTCAAAACATCATTCGCTTTACAATGAAGGATGAGCTGTAATATTTTGGTTGCACAATAACGTATACATTGTATTAAATTTTATATGATAGTTAATACAAACATCGGCAATTCTGAAGATAAAGACAAAATATTAATTAAAGACTTATTTTGTTATTTTTGATCATTGGATACTGGTGTGCTGCACTATCATTTGAAGGCAACTAGTAGGTTCTGTTATGTTGAAACATTTGAAAAGTTTCATAAACATATACTTTACATGCATTTATGTAAAGATAGTAATCCAATTAAATCAGATATATTTTGTACCCATTACTTCCATATTTTGTACCCATTTTTACATTATTTTCTGTGGCATTTGTTATATAAAAGAAGATACTTAATCTAGATTTCTGAACCATAATTGTTTAAAGTGATGCAAAATAAAATTATCTAAGCATCTTAGTGGATGTAATATTGCGATTTTCAAAATATTTTAAACTTATAGCATTGTAAACAGTATTTTCTATTTACCCTTCCCATTAAGTTGCATGATAGATGATTTCTCATTAACTTTTTTTTCTAAAGAATTCTTTCAGTTCTTGCATTTTCTCTCAAGAAATGTATTAAAAGTGTAAAAATATAAAACGAGTAAATTTAAGTCATTAAAGTAGTTTAAAAGAACGAAATTAACAGAAATTTGTATCATATTTTCATATTTTTACACCACCCATTTTAAAAATACACATTTTTAAAAAAAAAATGTAATTAAATGGCACATATTTATGTAAAAATGTTAATGTTTGTAACAAAACGTATAAACCAATTCTATCGCCAATAGCAAAAAGAAAATGTAAAAATGTAAATTAAAAAAAAATCATTTTTTCCTACTTTTTTGACACATTTTTCTCTTTTTTTTTTGCCATCAAAAGTACTTTTTGCATTAAAAGTACATACTTAAATGCATTTGTGTCATATTTGAAACATTAGTGAAATAAAAGAAAATTACCAGCAGTTCAAACTGCCGACAATAACTAATTGTGAGAAAATTGTATTTTTCATATTTTTGGCGGCCATTACAAAAACTCTCGTTTCTAACATGTCGATCCTTTAATTGACAATTCCGGGTCATTTACACTGCTAGGTTATCGTTTCATTGTGAATATATACAATAAGCAAGCATACTCACAGTCTTAAGATCAGATAACTGCATTGTTATACGGTAAGAGATGCTGAAGAGGAGTAGAGAAAACCACAAAACTATATGACTTATCATTTGAGAATATTATTGAAAAGGGTGAGGCGTTTTTGCTGATATATTTGGTTCTTCGCATCCTTAAACAATGTATCATGCATATCATTTTCACATTCTTTCTCAATTTATCAAAGCATTTTCTTTTCGGCTATTCCTTTAAAAGTAAGTTTATGGAAAATTAATTCAGTTGTCTTGCGACATATCCAAGAATTGTCTGAGAAAATCTAATAAACTTTAATTAGAAGTATTAAAGATTTCCAAAGACACATTTTCAAATGTTTCTCATTGTAAAATATTATTCTCATACGAATTTCAATCATTATCCAGTCTAAGTCGGTCATAATATCTTAAATTTGACATGTTTATCTGAGAACTGGGATTCACGTCATATATAAGTTCCGTTTAGATGTGTCATGCCTGATAAAGTAAGTACATATCATACGCCACTTAGAGATAATTTTAATGATAATATTTAGTGTAATCTTTGTATCATCTATAAACTTTACTAGTTAATAGTTCGTCTAGTTAAATAATAAACCATTGAAAATGATTTATTTCTGTAAAGTAGTAATATTTCTGTTTGTTGCTGGTGTTCGCGGTGATCAGGGACACAGTTGATGCGAGGTTTCAAAAGCTGGAACAAGAAATCGTCAAGTTACAGAACACAGTGATTGATTTACAGAGACAGGTTCATGAACAAAATGATGGTATGTATTGCTAACCTTTAACCTGTAAAAAAATGTGGAATAAATTTATCATGGTTTACTTTTTGAATTATCCATTTGAAAAGTAAGAAACTGCAATATCAAAACTTACCAACAGTATAAATGTGTAGCAGTATAGATATGATTGGGCGGACTGGCTTATATCTATTCTGCTACACACGGTCGGTTCCAGCAGGTATAGGGTTATTGCCGATCAAATATTCTTTTATCTGTGAAATGTGCTTTAAGTTAGCTTAAAATGTATACTAGAATAAAGGAAATGAAGAAAAGAGAAAGAAAAAAAAAACAATAAGCACAACAACAATTATTGTATCGGGAATTATTGGGTTGTAAGCAATGTATTTCTACATGTTTTTGATACTTTTTGTTATGAGATGACTTTTTTAAATGATTTAATGTGAACTAAAGATATGAATTGTAAAAATGGTAATGGTAGATAAAAACTGCACGAGGTAGCAGAAAACATAATGTTAATACCAGTTAAGAGTAAAGAAAATTTGGATTTTCAGTTGTTAATGGATTATGAATGTTTGGTCAGTAATTATTGCCTTTTTCAGGTAATGAGTATATGTCGGTTGCGTTTACAGCAGGCCTTTCAAGAACCATAACAAACATGGGCTCACATCAGCAGATTGTTTTCGACCACGTGATCACAAACGTTGGCAACGGCTATAGTCCGTTTCACGGGCATTTTACGGCACCAATAAAAGGAGTCTATGTGTTTTTCGTAGTTATAACAAATACCCCAGGCTATTCCTCCAGTGTGACGCTTTTAAGAAATGGAGGATGGATATGGTATGCGTTAGCACATGGAGGAAGTCAAAACAACAATCTGTATGTAACGTCAACAATAGCCGTAACAATTGAATTACAGCAGGGGGATGAAGTCTGGGTTCAAAATGAGTTTGCCTTTACATCGGTCGAAGAGCTTAGTGGTGGTAATTGGTCTACTTTTCAGGACATCTTATTGATACCATGTAAAAATTGTCACAAGATATTGTTTACATACTTTTTCCCTATAATAAAAAGTCTTGTATACATGTTTTTCTGCATTAAAAAAATACATGAAGTCTTACCTTATTTTCCCTTTACCCCATTCAGTATTTGCATTTACATGGATGAGGGGGGAGCCAAAAGAACAATAGGTTGAACAATCGAGTAGGCACATACGTACTGTCTCGTTCAGAACACATATCTGTCAGTTGACAATCGGTTTTTGCAGGGCAACTTTTGAAGGAAATCAAAGATTGTGTTCATATTTGGCATGTACGTTTATACTGGAAACACACGTTAAAATTGACTTACTCTGCAATCAATTCATAATTGAAAAAGTGCCCCCGTAAGCATTTTGAGTTCAATTTTTGGTTTTGGCCAGGTCACTTTAAATGATTTCTGAGATTGTGTGTCTTTTTGTCATATTATATAAAACATTGGTAAATTTCTATTTTCTCTGCAATCAATCCATTATTAAAAGTGTTATTACGTATTTTGGGTGAAATTATTGATTTCCACAGAATAACTGGAGTTTATTCAGAAAAACTTTAAGGAGCTTAGTGAATACATACTTGATATGTGAATAATATTATTATGTTATATCCAATTTTATGTTAAGTTTATTTTTATTGCAATAAACGCTTTATAGGAATTAACCCCTTTTAAGCAATTGTTGAATTATGGGTTTCTGCAGAATCATTTCTGAAGGATTTATATGATTCTGTTTATATTTGACTCGCAAGCATGCTGTATCAAAACACAAAATTAATAACATTTGATTGAAATACTGGGAGCGTGGTGTCCGCTTTTTTGCAATTTTTCTTTGACATTATTTGTTTCTACATAATAACTTCAAAGGAGTTCACTATATTTTGAATGCAAGTATATAATATGAAAACAGAATTTAGGTTTGATTTAATTTGTAATCAACTAATCGCAAGCCAACGTTGATTTAATTGATTTTAATCAAATTGTAATCAAGTAATAATTTGTTATCATTTACTATAATTTCGTAACTGTATCCCTTTTTCACATTTGATGGAAAAGTCATGATATAAGCCATTAACTATTTTAAAAAATAAAAATCAAATATTCCTAGAATTAACTGTCACTTCAAATGAAGGAAATAATCAGATAAAAAGCTCTTTATAAATAAAACCCAATATCACTGAAATTGACTGTCACTTGAGTACAATAATACTAGAGGGCATCAGCCTGCGATGAATTTCTAATCTATAACAAATGTTTAACTAGGCCTCGCAAGCATGATTAATAAGTTATGAAGAATATAGCAAAAAAAGTTTTAATTTTCAAGTTAAAAGTTAATTTTCAGTTCATTTGTTTTACATGAATAAAAAATAACCTCTTTAGAAAACTAGACTTTTGTTCCCGTTTTGTTGTATCCTGTTTGACGCTCATGTTCTCGGGGAAATCAGAAAAGGTGCAGAACACAAACAAAACAATTATGTCATGGAAACTGCAACAAGTACTTGTATTTGAAATTCATAATCGTAGCTGAAATAATGTTATAGATCATCCATTAATTGGTAAAGTGTTTTAACCTGAATAAATATATAATCTAATCTAATCTAATCTAAAGCATTATCATCATTGGGACAATTGTATAGGCTAAGTCTTCAGGATTGAACCACGCCATGACAAAACCAACATAACTGGTTTGCGACCAGCATGTATCCAGACCAGCCTGCACATCCGCGCAATCTGATCAGGATGTATGATGTTCGATATTAGTTTCTCTACTTGTAATAGGGTTTGTAAGCGATAAGCATGGATCCTGATCAGACTTTGCGGATGACATGCTGCTCTGGATTCATGCTGGTTGCAAACGCACTACCAAGATTTTGTAATGGCGCTGCTCATATTAGTTTACGTCCTATGATTATGAAAGGTATTCTGTACTTTTCAGCCAATGAATTAGTCACATTGTCAGCCATATATTCAGCCATATGATTTGCATAACACTCGGATAATTTTTTTCAAAATATACATATGCATACATCTTTTCATTTTATCTTTTTAATAAAGCCTTAAAAATGTTGTTTTTTTTTTTTTTTTTTTTTTATTTAATTATGTCTTCTTGTCAGAAATATTTTTTATTTCATAGTCATACTTAGTTCAATTTTGTATGTCTTTTTCTTATTTGTTGTAGTTTCACTCATGACAACAAGAGCCATGTCAACATGGCCATCCCCCGCTGAATGTGTTTGCTCATTGGAAGAATGTATATGTAGTACAGCAGAATAATTCCATTTTAAGAGGTATTTTGGTAAAGAAAACTGATGGCTATAGTGATTACAGATTTGAAACCTATGTGAATACTGATGGCTGAAAATAACAAAGAGCAATAACTGAAAAATAATGCAGGGTAGGTTATCATTCTTGTGTGCTGCATCCCTCCCCAGTAAAATCTATCCACATATGAAGTTTCAAGTTGATACCTCAAATAATTTTTGAGAAAAAAAATTGAATTGAAAAATTAAGTATGAAAAATAACAAAGGGCAATAACTCTAAAATTATAAAAGGTAGAGTTATCATTCTTACGCACTGCACACCTCCTGAGTTAGATCTATGCACATATGAAGTTTCATAATGATATCTCAAAGGCCTTTTGAGTTATGCTCTGGACAAAAATTAATTTTGAAAAATAAAAAAGGGCAATAACAAAACAATTATGCAGGGTAGAGTTATCATTCTTGTGCACTGATCTCTTCCTCAATGAGATCCATCAACCTATGAAGTTTCAAGTTGATACCTCAAATACTTTTTGAGATAAGCTCCGGACAAAATAGTATGAAAAAGAACAAAGGGCAGTAACTCAAAAATTGTACAGGGAAGAGTTATCATTGTTGTGCATAGCATTCCTCCTCAATAAAATCTATCCACCTATGACATTTCATGTTGACATCTCAAACACTTTTGAGTTATGGTCCACTCGGGTGAAAAATTAGGTATGAAAAATAACATAGAGCAAAAACTTAAAAATTATGAAAGTTAGAGTTATCATTCTTGTGCACTGCACACCTCCTGAGTGAAATCTATGCACCTAAGAAGTTTCATGTTGATATCTCATACATGTCATAGGCTTTTGGAGTTATGCTCTGGACAAAATCAATTTTGAAAAAAAAACAAAGGGCAATAACTCAAAAATTACGCAGGATAGAGTTATTATTCTTATGCACTGCACTCCTCCTTAATGAGGTCTATCCACCTATGAAGTTTCAAGTTGATTACTCAAATACTTTTAGAGATATGCTCCGGACAAAAATGTCGGACGGAAGGAGTGACGGACGGAAGGTCGGACGGACGGACGGCGACTATTTCTATATCCCCCGCCGCCTTTTCGGCGGGGGATAATAATTATCTGAAAATGTTTCTCGTTTTGTACCATCAAATGTCATGTATTTATATACTTAAATAGATTGTTATATAGGGTTAACGCACGTGTTTTCGTGTAATAACGTCTGCAGAGTCCCGAGGAACGGTTGGTGCCCGAGCCCGGTAGGTCGAGGGCTCCAACAGTTCCGAGGGACTCTGCAGACTATATAACACGAAATAAACGTGCGTTGACGCTATCATAGCATAACATTTTAAAACAGATTCATGATGTCGATCAAATACAAAACACATACATTAAATCCTTGTGCGTGGACGGTATTAATTTTATCCAATTCTACATGTTTTACGTATGCGTTTTATTTTTCCGGGGCTAACATCTTTGGAAATACAAATGCCCAGAACCGAACGAAATTTCGAATTTTAATTGATTTAACAAACCTTAACATTTTAGATTTATTAACGTAAGAATAAATACACATTAAATTACTTTACACAAGAAAAAACATGACCGTCAGAAATTCCTAGAATTATTTCTGATTGACGGTAGAAAAAAATCAAAAACATCAGAATCGGTTTTATTTTCAAGCACACAACATTTTCTCATATTCATTTTGTGGTATCTTGTTTTGTAAGTGACTCGGAGGGTTTGTTTACATTGACAACTGTCCGTTTCTTAGAAAGGGCGACACCTACGATTAGCGGCGATGTTTATATGCCGTATTTCCGGCATAGTTACTTGAATGCTGCTCGCCGTTACTTATGCGATTGATGCCCTCGAATCAATTATTTCAATATAACAAAAGCGCGCGACTCTTTTGCAAACAATGCCAAATCGTCATTTTTTTTTGTTTACTGGGCCCTGTATGTATTGCGCATAAAACTGGGCTATGACAAGAGAGCGTGACTATGTTAACATATGGTTTTTGTCCCGTTATAACATGGGCAAAAGAGGGAAAAATAGCGGATTTTATGCTATAATATACTTAAATATATTGTTATTACTTTAATCTGGGCAGAACATTGGTATTTAGTTTCTGTTTTAAAGTTAAATACTCAACTTATCAATTAATTAACGTTTGATTTTCTTTTCTCGTTATGTAATTAACTCTCAATTAACTTACAAATCGAAAATGAGAAATCAAAAATGTGTTTTGATATTTCACTTTTTATTTATGTTGTAAATAATTTCAATTATATATGTGTCTTGTCATTTATCTAAAACATTACATGATTTCTGCGATTGCAACAATGCCAAACATTATAACAAGAACCGGTTGAACCGGGTGATGCTCCCCGAATGGGTTTTAGACACAGGAAAGGATGAAAAAATGAACAAAGGGCAAAAACTCTAAAATTAGGCAAGGCGGAGTTATGTTTTGTTGCACTGCACTTTTATTCAATGAGATCTATCTATTTATAAAGTTTCCTGATGACATCTCTTATAGTTTCAGAGCTATGTCCCGGGTAAAATTCAAAGTGTAAAAATAAACAAAGGTCAATAACTCCATAATTATACAAGGCTTTGTTAAGGTTCTTTAAGCATTGCAGTTCTATCCAATGATATCTCTATTATACCTAATAGTTTTAGAGTTATGTCCCGGACAAAAGTCAAAAAGTAAAAATAAACAAAGGGCAATAACTTCAAATAAGGCAAGGCGGATTAATGATTCTTTAGCACTGCACTTCTACCTATTGAGACCTATCTATCTACAAAGTTTCATGTTGATATCTCTTATATTTTTAGAGTAATGTCCCGGACAAAGTTCAAAGTGTCAAAATGAACAAAGGACAATAACTCCAAAAGTAGGCAAGACAGTGTTACAGTCTTGTGTTCTACAAACCTACCTAATGAGATCTATCTACCTACAAAGTTTCATATTGATACCTCTTATACTTTTAAAGTTATGTTCCGGACAAAGTTCAAAGTGTAAAAATAAACAAAGGGGGATAATTCAAAAATTAGGCAAGGCAGATTTACGGTCCCTGTGCACTGCACACATTCTTAATGAGATCTATCTACCTACAACGTTTCATGTTGATACCTCTTGTTGTTTCAAAGTTATGTTCCGGACAAAGTTCAAAGAATAAAAATAACCAAAGGGGAATAATTCAAAAATAAGACTAGGCAGAGTTACAGTTCTTGTGCACTGCACACCTAATCAATGAGATCTATCTATCTACAAAGTTTCATGTTGATACCTCTTATAATTTTAGAGTTATGTCCCGGACAATGTTCAAAAATGTAAAATAAACAAAGGGGGATAATTCAAAAATTAGACAAGGCAGAGATACGGTTTTTATGCACTGCACACTTACTCAATGAGATATATCTACTTACAAAGTTTCATGTTGATACCTTTTATACTTTTAGAGTTATGACCTGGACAAAATTCAAAGTGTAAAATAAACAAAGGGTGATAATTCAAAAATTAGGCAAGGGGGAGTTACGATTCTTGTGCACTGCACACATACTCAATGAGATCTATCTACCTACAAAGTTTCATATTGATACCTCTTTTACTTTTAAAGTTATGTCCCAGACAAAGTTCAAAGTGTAAAAATAAACTAAGGTGGATAATTCAAAAATTAGACAAGGCAGAGTTACGGTTCTTGTGCACTGCACAACTTCTTAATGAGATCTATCTACTTACAAAGTTTCATGTTGATACCTCTTGTTGTTTCATAGTTATGTCCCGGACAATAAAAGCGGACGGACGGAAAGACGGACGGACGGACAAGGCGGCAACTATATGCTGAATTTTTCGGGGAGCATAAAAATTTGTAAAACTTCTTTAGGTATATCTTTTGATTTCATGCATGTGTAAATATGTATCCTTATAGAGTTTCAAGAACCCCAAGAAATTCATTATGACAGTGTAAAATTTATTTGTGGTCATACCGTTGCTTATACATTTTTTACAATTAAATCTAAATTTCTAGATCCTAACATAAATCTAACAGATTCGACTTTGAATAGACGACATCCAATTTACTATAGCTGTATTGTTTCCTTCCGTTTACATCCCAGTTCTATCGTACTATAATGATATTACCAATCGCAAATGTCAAGAAATAAATTCTTTCTTCCTAGTATTATGAAGCTTTCCGTTCCCATTTCTTGTAGATATTTGTTTTTATCTTGATTTGCATTTGATAAATGACATTAAGTTTCGTTTCAGATTAGTCATTCTTTAATTGCGTGTTCAGTTTCTAGCGTTTTTATTCCCTTCTATGAAAATACCAAGTTTTAGGCTATTTATTACAATACTTTTCCCCATCAACATGTTTTACAAATTTGAATTCTTTAGTTCTTTATCCCGATATATCAGTGACAGTGTCTAACTCATATTCTCTATTTTTCCATTGAAATATTGAGCAAGTCATGACAAAGTATTAGTTTTCTTTTTCAAACACCTTGACGTATAATTTGAAATATATTACAATGGTATACGCCAACTTGAAATGATTAACAACGAACATTTCAAACTTCACTGAATTATTTATCAAGAACTGTGATGACACTGGCACGACGTGTATTGTTTTATTTTGAATATTATACGCATTCAGACAATAAACCTTGCATTGGCAATCCCAGGTAAAAATAATATTAAGATAAATGAGTAGGCATTTTATCATTGAAAAGTAACTTGATAGAACACTTTTGTTCGGTGATAAATTATTGAAATTTGATGGTAAATCGTGCAGAAAGTTTAAAAAGCTATATTATATAGTGTAGAAACATGTGTCAATGGGCGTACATTCATAATTCAAAAATCTAAAACGAAAAAAAAATGGTTTAAACTGGTTTTGCACATTCATCATTGCACCCTGGTTGGTTTGAAAATGTCAACACGATATCTAATCAAAATGCGTTGCGAGAAATGAAACAAAATTATTTTGTTATTCCATTGTTCGCCAGTAGTAAAGTAATAAAATATTGAAATCAAATCATTTGCCTAGATTCTTTTAAACAACAGTATTGAATACATTTGCTGTAAACAGTGACAAATCAACTTCATTGATTTCTTCATTTGTTAAACAAGAGTTCATAGCACCATAGGGAGTAAGTGAATAAGGAATCCGTAAATAGCAATTACATGGCTCCTCAGCAAATGATATGGAAATATTCTACGATATATTTTAAATCCTAAACGAAGTCAGATAATGGTCTTCAGGTGAAACGTACATGTAACTTATAATGTACTTGTTTATTTATCGCATTTAGTCTCATTATCAACATAACGATCATTGTCCCCCGCATCATCATCACTATTATCATTATTACCATTATGATGTTTTTTTGCGTGATTTGTTGAGTAAATTGCCACCATAGTTTGTTTCAGAAACAAACAATCACCATAGTTTGTTTCAGAACCAAACAATACCGACTACGGTCATTTGCGAGCAAAAACTGACAATCTATAATGGCCATTTTATTAACGTAATGGTGAACAACTAAGGATTTCTATCATGCATTTTTAAAGACCTAGCCAGTATATGTTGCATGAGTAGAACAAAAATTTCCAATGCTTAATGTTAAAATTTATTTTAGCATAGCAAGAATTATGTTTACATTTCATTTGATAATAATAATAATAATAATAATAATAATAATAATAATAATACATTGTAATAATAATAATAATAATAATAATAATATAATAATAATAATAATAATAACATAAATAATAATAATAATAATAATAATTATAATAATAATAATAATAATAATAATAACGATAATAATAACGATGATGTTGACGATGATGATGATGAAGATGATAATAAGGTATTATCTAAATAAAAGTAAATAGTTTACAAATACCAATTTCTGAATTATCAGTTTTGTTACGATATATAAAATACACGATTCACGTGAAAATCTCGATGATCAACTATTCTTAGATAAATCATATAATTATGTGAACATATAGTTTCTTGTAGGCAAAAGTGTCAAGCGTGTAATGCGTTTTATTTCTTCCTCTTATATTTTTTCTTCTTATCTTCTGTTTTGTAATATTGATACACAAACTTATCTGAAGGGCGGATTTAACAAGAATCATCTTCCTATGATAGAACATACTTTTCACATGTTATCAAGGACAAAATTTCTAGGCCATGACATTATATCAAAACAAAACTAAAAAATATTCAACATTTAATTTATGTAAGATATTCAACCTGTAACATTCTAGTAAGAAAGACGGAATTTAGTACTGTTAACATAGACTTCTAGTATTCTTTTGAACACGCCAAACAATTATTTTAATTTATATACAATAGTGTTAAGCTATAAAACTTTTGGAGAAAAAATCACTTGCCTTACATTTATTTCAAAAAACAATAATATCGGCAAAATAAAACAGAAAAAAATGTCCGCGTTTGGATTTGAAGCACAGGATCCCAATTTTAACAAAACATTATCTAGCGCGTGTACTATCACGGCTGTGGCAGCTACGCTATTGACAGGCGATTATTTTAATTTATATACAATAAAAACACTATTTATATTACATGTACATGCCTTATATTTAGTCAGGAATTTAGTTTCAAGGCCTTCTTTATTGATATTACCAAAACGCTTTGAAGCCATAAAAATCGTTTTAACGTAATATTATTTCATATTTGCGAATTGTTATTTCGTAATTACGAAAGGACATTTCGTAATAAAGAAATTACATTTCGTTGTTACGAATTCATATATCGTAAATACGAAATAATATTTCGTAATTATGAAATAAAATTTCGTATTTACGAAATAATATTTCGTAAAAACGAAATTATATTTCGTAAAAACGAATTAATATTTCGTAATACGTATTAAGTTCCGGGAAAAAAGTGTGGTAAATGTCAACTTAGGGGCTTCGTAAGTTTACGTACATAATGGCTACCATGGTTAGGTCGTTATTGTGTGGGGAGGTCAAAATATTTAAGAATGTTATTCAACGGGGAGTTAAAATTGTTTTAAATATAATGACCGATTGTCATAAGTGGGTGTCAAAATACTTCGTTACAACCGTTTTTAGGTTTTATTCACGGTCATATATCAATGCTTCAAGATAGAATAGTTTTCGAACGTTCTGGGTATGTAAGCCAAACCAAATACTTGGTTGTTATGCATTTAATGAATTATAAACAGATGAAAAATGTGACTGTTTTTAGATTGGACGATTCACCAAAGATCAATAACTAGGGCATGTTTTATGCATCTGATGTTAACCAGCTTTACTCGTAAATATATTTCACATGAATCATACCGGGGCTGTTCTGCGCTTTCAGATACGGTCGTTGTTTGATTTCATTTTATATAGCTTAGACAAATAACAAATATGTTTTACTTTTAATACAATGGCTTCGACTGCTGGAATTATAATTATTAACGCTGTTTTATTCGGAACAGTTTACTCAAACAAATGCAGTTCATTTGAAATAAGCAAGGACAATCTTAATAAAGCCTTGATCGGTCATTCCGTGTTAGAAGTTAATGATAAAAACCATCACGATTGTGCGCGAACCTGTATGTCAATGTCCGTCTGTAAATCTATCGACTTTGACAGAAACGAGCACGTGTGTAAATTAAACCATGTTGACCAGTCGTCTGTTGATCCATCGGAGTTTGAAATAAAGCGAGGTTCTATATTCTCTGATATCAGCGAATGGCCTAGCGTAAGTAATTGATAAAATATGTACAACTGCTGGAAACGGAAATGACACACTTTTTTATACTTCTCTTACATTTGAGGTTTATAGTGACATATGATTCTTTCTCTCTCATGTTTGAAACGGTAATGATATTTTATTGTGCAAATAATTTATTTTTCGAGGAATCATCTCAGAAGTTTCTCTTTCACATTATTGTAATTTAACAATACATACATTCTATTTATAGAGAATGGTTGGAAGTTGTGGCTCAAGGCCGTGTAAAGCGAACCAAAGATGTTACCAAAAAGGTGCTTCACATGTGTGCAAAGACTTAAGTACGTCAAAATTTATATTTTACATGTTTAGTTTCTTGAAGAAATGGAATATTTATATAATTTCAAAGAAAATTTTTCAAATTTCTTTTAATTTTTATTCATTTATTTATTTGTTTATTTATTTATCATTTGATAGATGTCATGTCCTTAAATAATGTCCTTGATGACATGCAAAAGTATGCTCTATACTAGATAGAGGATGCTTGTTAAATCCGCCCTGCTGACTTATGTCTATTGATATAATAAATAAGATTAAAAGAAGTGAAAACGAAAAAATAAAATAAATGAACATCATTTAACACTTATCACCACTTTGCCAGCAAGAAACTGTATGTCCACATAGGATTTTCACGTGAATCATTATACATTGTATTTGCAAATATTCAGAAATCGACTTTTGTAAAGTATTACCTATTGTTTAGAAATACCCGTTTTCCTATTATTATTTCCAGCTTGTGCTTTGGATCAGAAAATTGAAAATGGTAAAATACAGATTAGTGCACCTGGCGAAAACAAGTTTCTTGACGTAGCTCAAGTAAAATGTGACTTTGGTTATGTTCCTAGTCAACAAGAGGTGAAATGTGAGGCTTCAGGAAAATGGCAGCCTGCAGCGTGTAAATGTAACGTATTAAGATATCGCTGTGCTTTTCTTGACTTAATATGTCATTCAAATCAGCCAAGAGGGTAGACTTGCATTTTTTATCTTAATGAGTATCTTAATATTTTATTAAAATTAGTCGTTATGGTAAAAAAAATTAAGTTGCCTTACGGACTAGTGTGTCTTTTAAAACATATACATAAATGCTAATGCAAATGAATGGCAAGATTATTATCTAAATATGAACTGAAAGTAAGGGACATACTGGATGGTGTCCGCACATTTTATATATTGATCAATCTATTGTAATTGCTTTTCGGTAGTTGGTACTTGAATAAATATAATATCAAAAAAGGGAGGCACATTGACACTATTATTGCTTAGAATAATACAGTTTTGTGTTCTTTGCCTAGTAACAAGTGATTGTAAAGAAGTCCTTGATAAGTTTCCTTACGCGAAAAGTGGACAATATAAGATAGAACTTTGGACATCTGGGGAAATTGTGACTGTGAATTGTGACATGGAAACCGAAGGCGGTGGATGGACGGTATGTAGACGTTTTAATTCAAGAGTTAATTAGCAAATTTGATCTTTCCTGTTTCAAATACTAACATGATTAATTGTTGAATTACTCTAATTTTACTTCCATTTGAACATTCGTTTAACTCATGATGTGCAGTTCAGCTTGAACAACCAGTCAAATGGTTTTCACAATTAACTCGTGTTATCCTTTTCGTTCGTTCAGTAAGAAAAAGTTAAATGGTGCCAAAATAACGTCATTATCAAATTAATTTTTATTCCAATTCTCAGCAGCAATTGCGCTTGAAAGTAAAATGTTAATAGTTATTTTTTCTTGTTTTCCTTCTCATTCTTAAACACATTTCATGTACTACAGAATGTATTTCTGACGAAATTTCCTTTTACTTATGCTACATTATTCTCATCCGCATTAGTGGTAGTGGAGGCCAAAAGTATATGATTTTCTTTTACTTTAATACCTATATGAATCTGCTTTGTTTGATTTCGAGGAGGGAAAAGTCGATACTAGACAACAATAGGAATGTATGTAGATAGTAGGCGTTTAATATAATCAATTAAGTTTTGTGTTAAAAGAGAATAAAAGGCTTTTTTTGTAGAACAATATCATTGCTGTAAAAATAAAAAGGTATCTGAACCGTCAGGGCGTGACTAGTCATTCATTTATTAATAAGCAATTACTAAGCTTCAGTGATTTTATGGAAATTGGTATATACATTTACAAATATTCAATACGGTATAACATTATCTAATTAACATGACCAATGACCCATCCAAGAGTTCTAAATACAACAATATCTTTAAAATGCATCTATACGTGACTGTTTTTAATACCATTCATGATAAATATTATTAATTTCATTACCATTTTGATAATGAATATAACCGTGTCACTAAAAGTGTCGTAGAAGGTTTCAATCAGTCATTCTTTCTGATTGTTTTTATAAATTGTCTAAACAGACCGGTTTGTCATCAAAAATGTCTAAATAAATAATGAATCATGAACAAATCTTTCATTTCTTTGTTTTTGATATAAAATGAAATTAAAAATTATCATCTAATTGGATATTAACAAAGGAGGAACGCAGACTATTAATTACACTGTTCTATAAATAAATCTATCTAATATATTTACTTACTCTTGAATAGAAAAGTTTCGTTTTCTTTAACTAGATATTAAAGGTTGATCATATGATGTTATATATTAAATAAGATCTTAGCAGAAAATTGACCTACAAAGTGATAAGTAACTTACTGTATCTCTCAAATTGTGTGCATTAATACATTACACATCATAAAAGGCAATACTTCCAGTATCCACTATTGTGTCAGCAGTCCCTTTTTATACTTGTCGATATTTATAACGCCGTGTATTCAACCTAGAGGAGACATGTATACCCGTCTTTTACCAGACAACAAATACTGTGTCCGTGACATAATAGTTGCATTTTACATAAACAAATTAACACTGACTGTCTCGTTCAGGGCACACGCATTTTTAAAATGGGGACCAGACGCCGCTTTTCATGGAATGGAACTTCTGTGTCACATTGAAGGTTCCATGATAACCGCCGTATGAACACATTTGCGGATGTTTCTGTGTTCACAATTTCACCATTTTCGTGTTTAAATGTTTAATTCTGCTAGAGCCGGTGCTACGGGCGTGGTCGGTAACTTGCACTTTCCATTACCGTCAATGAACAGACTCAATGAAACCGAGCCTGCAACATTTTCAATTTTGCTGAGTTGGGCTTTCTTTAGGAATTCTGTTTTACACTCGCCAGTCTTATATTTAAAAAGTTTAAGTTTAATATTAGACTTGATATTTTTCGGATGTTGTGAAATGAATGTTGATAATCTGACTTCTTCTGCGTTGTTGATATTTACAGTGATAGGCGCCCGTCCAATTGTCCTTTGATAACATTCATTGTACGCATTTGAAATATTTGTGAATATAAATCACTCTCCTTTAATGCCAGGTAGCGCATATTTCTCTTAAGTGAAAAATCCACGCGTTCTGCTACTGAACTCTTTGTTTCATTATACGTTGTTGAAAAAGGATGCTGAACTTTTTCATCAACGTTTGTACGGTTTTGACTCTAAACTCTTGTCCTGTAAAACATAAGAATAAATGCTTGATTAAATATTAACAAGTAAATAAAAATGTACGTGAACATTTTTCAAAACATAGAAAAAAATACCAAATTTCAAAGAGAAATAATTATACCTTTATCGGCAATAAGTCTTGTAGGTTTATGGTAAGTGTTCATAAATATGTTTTCAGAAGCTTCTGCCACATTATACACGGGTTTCTGTTTTAGAGATCTAAGCCATATGTTTTTGCAGAAAGTATCAATAACAACAAATATATACTTGTATCCCTCATTATTTTCAGCATATGTCACAATTTCAGTTAGATCAGCTATTCATAAATAGTCTATTTCAAACGTTGATAACGTGGTTTCTTATAAATCGTCTTCTCACAGGTTTATGGGGACTGTAAGCCTCCTAGTCATGAAGAAATATTCTTACTCTGTGTATACCAGTGTCGTATTTTTCATCCTATCCACTACTCTATATCATTTCTGAGGGTAATATAAGCCTCCCTTATGTGAAACGTGAAAGTTATTTTTGTTTCTGATAGTCTTCCGAAGGAGCCATGTTTCTACCGTTCAGATTCCAAAACTAGAATAATTCAAATTGTCTGATTAACGTGATTCTTTCACATCATATCCTCATTCTCATCGCTATCCTCATCTTCAGTCATCAAGTCATTCATTTAAAGCAGATATTTAAAGTTGTTTTTACTTTTTTCAAGACTTTCCACTGCTGATTTCAAACTGACTCCTTTAACACGGAGATTTTCTATTTGTTGTCTTTAGTTGAAACCTGTATGTTTCCAGCAAAGTTTGATACTTTCAAAGAATTTTTTCTCCTCGTATGGCTGAATAAGTTCTGTGGCCTCGTCCTCATTTTCGATATCATCGACGTATTGATCATATAGTTTACAAAATCGATCCTTGTTAAATTCTTGAGAAAAATGCCATCTTTGATTCTGTTCTACAACGTCGTTTATGACATCATCAATCTATTATTTCGTCATCCTTTTAGCAGGCGGATCATTATTTTCTGTACACCATCTTCTTTTGATGTGTCTCTGCAGATCATGCACGGAATCAAAGTGTAATACACAATCGTCACAAGCGTGTCCTTTGTCTGCTATCTTGTAGTCTTGGTCGATGTAAACAGTCTGATTTTCGACAGATAAATGATTCACATGAAACATCCGCTTTTATTTGATGACATAGATTCACGTCTTGGTTAGAGTCGTCCTCAGATTTCTATCTCTCATTTTTCCGACGTAAATGGTTTCAAGTCCACGAGTAAATACCCATTAAGGTTCTTTGTAGCTTTTGTAAAGGCTTTCTGGAATTTATCTGTGTTTCATAGCTTATGTCATCATTGCTTGCCTATCAACAGGGTTATTAACTAGGACTAAATGACAGATATTTTTTATTATTGAGTTGGATCCTTATGGCTAAATAAATTCTGGTTGATCGAAATCACAGATAGAGATACACCCGTGAATAAATTCGTGATCCTTTTATCCTTTCTAGCTTTGCATAACAGGTCATCTAATACAAGTAAGCTGTTGATTCTTGAATCAAAAAATTCTTCGTCTTCTAAATCCGTAGGAATGCATTGACAAGATTTTATCTATGGTAACACGGAAATTTGGATAAATGTAAATAATGGTTGTCATCTTTTGCAAAGCCATATCATTATCTGTATTGGGGAATTAGTTATTGTAGTATGGTGCAGCAACAAGTTCTTAACAAATTTTGTTTTACCACAAGACATTTGCCCAAATACAAGCATAGTGAAAGGATGATATAACACTGTGAATTTTCTATTTTTCTGTCGATATTCCTCTGCTGATTGCAATGTTCCCATATGTGCTCCTGGTGTTCTAAACCCCTTAAGAGGAGGAGGATACGACTGACATACTCTGTCATGTATCTGGTTCTGATCTCATTGTGTCTGGTGTCGTAACATATTGTCCCTCCTCGAGACATCCTGCTGGCATTCCGGACATATATTCATGTTGCTCCTCCAAATATTATTATGACGAAATATGACAAAATTTCTTTTCTTTTTAAAGCTCTGTTTGTCAAACAACCGATCAGAATCTTGTACATGTCAGTAATCAATAATACAGAACCTTATCAGATGGAGGCACAGGACCAGGTCATGAAATAGTATCACATGAGGTATAAATATAATCTTTTTACCTAGCAACATATTGTATGTCCAGAGGTCAATCAGTCATCACGGGACAGCAATGTCCAGGGTGTGATATTTCTGCTAAAACAACGCCAGTGGTTGGTAAAACACTCGAAAGGGTGCAAGTGTAATATATGTCATTATAAAATCACGAGAAAGAATGACTTGACAGGCATATGGAAAAAAACACAGAGCGTAATATAGCATTTATTGTTCCATATATGTATGGGCATTCAGTCGACCTGATAATCTACAGCGCTATATGTTTGAGAAACATCAGATAGGCTTGCTGCAACTGAAACTAACTAAGAGTCTGAAAAAGGTGATGATCTTGGTCCATGTGGTATTGAAGAAATCAAGAATTTGAAGAGGCTCTAGTTGATTACCAGATTCAAAAAGTGTCTGCCGATCATTTTAATGGTATCATCTGCACTTGGGTAGTGGCAGACAAAAATATTTATTTTTATTACCACGAGAACCTTTATGACGTCATTACCAGTATGTCTGCATTTTACGTATAGCTCATAAAGTGTGTGACATATGTATAAACGCAAGTTTGAGTGAAAGTGAATGTGAGGAATGTGGACCTGTCTTTAAAGGTGAAAACACATTGAACAATTTCTGTGAATGGCTCTTCTCTGAAAATATCTATGTTTCAACTGTGTTATGCCATAATTTGCAAGGGAATGATTTTTCCCAAATGTTTCAGTATCTCTACAATCCTGTTATCCGTCCCAAAATCGAACCTAATAATACGAAAAATCATGAACCGTTCCGTCCTTCAAATTCAAAATGATCGACTCTATAAATTTTATGCCCGTGGCTATGTTTGGGTTTTCCGAGATGAACAAACTTGTATAACTGCCAAAAGAACGTTGCTTTGATCTTAAACCAGTTACCTTACATTAGATATTATAATTCAGACAGAATGAAACCCGACACAAGAGTCGCTCTCATGACATGGTACGACAAAAAACAGACTGAATACACAAGATTTTCAGAAAGAAATATTGAAATATTGAAGGCCAGATGTTGACATTTTGAGACGCTGTTTTTTTACAATTCAGAGCCGATGTCAAGACTATCACAAATATTGACCATTTGAAAGAAGTATTACCATTACCTCGGGTTTCCAAAGAGTATTTAGTATACCATTGGCCTTATTCCGGCGCATGGTAAAGTCTGTCAAAGAATTATAATAATGGATAAGATATATATCGCATACATTGGGACTCCGAATACAACATGCACGAAACGGTGGAGAAAGAAATTGGACCATACAGAGGGGATTGATACTATGAAAGGGACGACGAAACGGTAGTTATAGAATTTCACTGTGATTTGTTTTGCATGAGAATCCTTTTAAATTTGCAAACCCTGCCATTAATCCAGTGAACTAATTCACTATGGGGGAATTGTATGAGAAAATGCTTAAAAATATATATATCGAATAAATGTATCTGGAAATCGGACAAGCTATAGTTAATCACATCCCTCCAAGCAAAGGGAGCATTCTTTTGGGTACAGAATCACTTATACCGTACAAAGATGCAACAATAGATAAACACATCAATTACGATGATTTCACTTCACTTTATACATGGGTCAGCAAGACAAGCAAAATACCACTTGATCACCGAAAACTTCCTGGACATACACTCTTACGGTCTGATTTAGTAAAAGGTACGCCAGATTGAACTTCTGTCCGTATTCTAATACCTTAGACCACCGCGCTCTCTATGCCGACATTGATTTTGTCATTTTTGTTATGAACCGGGCGACTTGATACTACAATGTTTACATTTGTAAAACAATTGTTCATAATTTGCACGTTTTATATGTCAAAAATGTATTTAAGGTGAATAAGTGTTATCTATTGACATGTTGAATTTTGATTGCCTAGAATATGTTTTTTAGTATTGTGAGATAAACCACACAAAACCACTGTGTTTTCCAAATGGCTTTATGTTATTTATTTACTTTATTGACTGGTAGAGTTTAGAGTTTTGAAACTGATATCCTGTATTATTATAGATATATGAGTGATCAAGCAAGAATGAACCCGTTAGAATGTCTCAATTTTTACACGCATTATGACGTAGGTTTCTATTGAAAGTGTGCAGCTCTCCGTATCGATTTTGCCCTTCTCCCAATCAAACATGGCGTAGTTATGAAGATGAATTATGTACAAAAAATACCTATACGCATGACCACTACTACTCGCATTCAAATATAAATCGGTTGCTGGGAAAATTATATTATATATTTTCACTTCAAATTATCAAAATATGTTAAAACGTATGTATTACTCATCTATTATCATTCTATATCTTTTGTTTATTATTCTTCATTATTTTATTGCTGAAATACTTATTTAATCGTTTGAGTCTAATGCCATTGGGTAGGTATGATTAGAAGTACAAAAGTTCCATTCCAAATAGAATATGATCATAGTAAAATGTACTTAAGTACTTCTTTCACGTCGAAGTGACCTGTAACCATTAGTGATAAAAAACTAACGTTAAAACAGACACAAACTGAAAACAGTTTATGATTATATACATTTTTATAAGCGCTCATCCTGATTTCTTCTAGATATTTCACAGGCGAATGGACGGGTCAGTGGACTTTTACCGCAACTTTACAGAGTATGAGAATGGCTTTGGGAACGTTGATGGAGAGTTGTGGTTAGGTATGTAAGAAAATCTTTCATTCCTTGTAGCATTGGCATTATAAAACAATTGCATTACAGTATTAATATATCATTTCGTGTAACGTTCTACGATAATCAGGGAAAAAACGGTGTCATTGTTGTAAGTATAGTTTTTGATTAGTCATATAATGTAAACTAATTACACTTTGGATTTGTTGCAATCGTAACATGAAGATATATTTCTTTACAATGGAAAAACTATTTGCTAACAGTAAACTTAAAGTTTAAAGTGACATTATGCCCATCCATTGTTAGATATAGAGTAAACAGTTGAAAGTCAAAATAAGTTACCTTTTTTTATAATATTTCAATTTTTTAAGACACTTCATATGGATAAATATCTTTCTAGGCCATGTGAAATGTGTGAAATTATCCGTCGGAATGTATCTGTAACTTTCAATTTATAAAAAGTGAGTATTTTTGTATATTCAGGTAGATTTAATTTTTACCCTTAACATTTTTCAAATACCATGTACTTGTCAATCACCATTATAACGACCAATCCATTTAAATATATAGTCAATTAAAATAAATTTTAATGAAAAAAATGAGCATAATGTCACTTAGATTATCGACTGATACGTGTTATGAACGTTACACAGTTAGCATAGTTCTTGATGACCGTAATGTAATGCTTACTTGAGCCTCGTCACGACAAAACCAACATAATGCATTTGCGACCAGCATGGATCCAGACCAGCCTGCGCATCCGCGCAGTCTGATCAGGATCCATGCTGTTCGCTAACAAACCCTATTACAAGTAGAGAAACTGATAGCGAACAGCATGGATCCTGATCAGACTGTGCGGATGCCCAGGCTGCTCTGGAGCCATACTGGTCGTAAACTCACTATGTTTGTTCTGTCATGGCGCGGCTTAGATATAAGTTGATGAAGTGTATTGAAAAAAATATTATACAATAAGTTGTTGAAGTTTAACACATAAGACAACCGAGCGGATTTAAATATCAATAAAAAAAAAGAAAACAAATTTATCGTATTTCCAACGGTTTGTTTCTTGTAATATGAGTGTTGTAGACCGAATTGTACTGAAGATTTCGATTGATTTTTTTAAAGATCCTGTAAATTGTAGTTAAGGCTGTACATAACAACACTTAAGTGAAATTTTATATAAATATATATATAACAAGAGCCATGTCAACATGGCCATCCCCCGCCGAATGTGTTTGCTCATTCAATAGCAAAGGGCAATAACTCAAAAATTATAAAAGGTAGAGTTATCATTCTTGTGCACTGCACTGAATTAGATCTATGCACCTATGAAGTTTCATAATGATATCTCAAAGGCCTTTTTGAGATAAACTCTGGACAAAATAGTATGAAAAAGAACAAAGGGCAATAACTCAAAAATTGTACAGGGAAGAGTTATCATTCTTGTGCACAGCATTCCTCCTCAATAAAATCTATCCACCTAGACATCTCAAACACTTTTGGGTTATGCTCCACTCTGGTAAAAATTAAGTATGAAAAATAACAAAGGGCAATAACTCAAATATTATGAAAGGTAGAGTTATCATTCTTGTGCACTGCAAACCTCCTGAGTGAGATCTATGCACCTATGAAGTTTCATTTTGATATCTCAAAGGCTTTTAGAGTTATGCTCTGGACAAAAAATTAATTTTGAAAAATAACAAAGGGCAATAACTCAAAAATTGTATAGGGAAGAGTTATCATTCTTGCGCACAACATTCCTCTTCAAAAAGATCTATCCATCTATGACATTTCATGTTGATATCTTAAACACTTTTGAGTTATGCTTCACTCAGGTGAAAAATTAAGTAAGAAAAATAACAAAGGGCAATAACTCAAAAATTATGAAAGGTAGAATTATCTTTCTTGTGCACTGCACACCTCCTGAGTGAGATCTATGCACCTATGAAGTTTCATGTTGATATCTCATAGGCTTTCGGAGTTATGCTCTGGACAAAAATCAATTTTGAAAAATAACAAAAGGCAATAGCTCAAAAATTATGCAGGGTAGAATTATCATTCTTGTGCACTGCACTCCTCCTCAATGAGGTCTATCCACCTATGAAGTTTCAAATTGATAACTCAAATACTTTTAGAGATATGCTCCGGACAAAAATGTCGGACGGAAGGACTGAAGGTCGGTCGGACGGACGGACGGAGACTATTTCTATATACCCCGCCGCCTTTTCGGCGGGGGATAATAATTATTCTTCTAAAGCATTCAAGAATAAATTAAATATAAACTGCAAATCTTTATACGCATTATAAGTAATCTCTAGAATATATGCATTCATTTCTTGTTGAAAATTTAGCTTGGACTTTATCGAAAAAAAAAAAACAATCAAATTACCTCCCTTTATTTACATGAAATGTAAATTCCGTAATATCTTTACAAATAATGTTTTTTGGAACTAACAATACTGATAATTCTTCATTTGAGCATAATATTAACCATATAACCATAAAAAATTGAGTTACATGATCTTTAAATATCTATATTTACAATTGATATTAACTACAATTTCCTTTTGTCGTTATCGGCTTTTAAAGAGATTAACGGTATTAGGATTGTCATTGTGTATCCGTCGTGAATAAAAGATTAGACAAAATCGTAACTTTGCGTCTACTTTTTGTTTCAATAAATATCATGTTAATTCGATTTTCGCTCACCCTAAGCTTGAAAATTTTGGTAAATAGTTATACAAACAAAACTATTCTAGTTATTCGGCTATATTGTGTTGTCTGTAGCTGAAGGAAACGTTTATATTGTTTATCATTGAAATTTAATACTAAAATTGTGTCCGGTTTATTTGTTTGATATACCATTGTTTTGACTTTCTCATGTTGAAAAAAAATAACCATATTATTATCGAGGACTTGATATAAATGCCCTTGTTTGTTACTGTCATTAAACCCTGCAGTAAACCAGAGACATAAATAATCTATGTCTCTGAGTAAACATACTTTTTGTATTTGTACAATATTTTGAGTCTATGTGCGATTTTTTTAATTAACGTGTATATACCAATACATGATGATTACAATGAAACACATTATCAGTCGTCTGCATTTTTAACCGGAAGTAATGTAACATCAGCAAATCTTGAAATGTTGTCTGTTTTTATTGGTTAAATTTGTACAAATACATTGATTTAAACGCAGAAATAAAACGCACCAATGCGGCAATGGTTACACCGCAGAAATAAGATACGCAGAAATTTTAAATCCCTTATTTTATTAAAAAATCGCAGAATACGAAGCCCGCAGAAATAAGTATTTATACGGTATTTTCACAGGTTTAAAGTTTATACAAGAACTAGCTGAACAAGGTTCTACAGAGATTCGTCTTGACATAACAAGAAGTGATGGAAAGCCAGGTCATGAAACATGTCCAGGCTTTAAGTTAACAGAAGGAACACGTTATACACTAGACATTGAGCCATGCACAAGTACTGGAATGAGATGTGAGATTTTTATGCTGATATTACAGCTTTTTTAAATATTATCTTTTGTTCATTCACTTTTTGTCTTCCTAGCTAAATGACACCACAACAGCTCAATATCCAATAAAATGCTAGCAGTTGACGGCAGTTACAGTATGCTGCAGATACAAATTCGAGTATTTATGGAAAATACTACTTGATTCACGATGTTAGATAGATTTTACAGTTTTAAATGCACAATATGCCTCAGAAATGCTTTTATTTTAATTTCTCAAAAACTTTTTATTTTTTATTTTTAATTTTCTGTGTCGAAAACATTGGTCACTGATTGACTATCTGAACCATTTTTTTCATCTGTTGGTTTTGGTGCATATATAGTGGTTTATTATTATACCCCCAACCACAAAATGTGCGTGGGGGCTATAATGGATTCGCTTTGTCGCGTCGGTTGGTCGGTCCGTCTGTCTGTCTCCATTATCGTGTCCGCTCTATAAATCCTATACCAATAGAAGGATTTTCTCAAACTTGGCTCAATTGTTCACTTCATCAAGGTTATTTGCAGAACCCATGTTACCATTTTGCCGGCATAAGGTCAAGGTCACACTTGAAGGTAAAAATAAAAAATGACCTTTTTAAGTCATCAAATTTACATACAATCAAATAGAAGACAATATGTCGTGTCCGCTCTATAAATCCTATACTAATGAAAGAATTTTCTTCAAACTTTATTCAAATGTTCACCTCAACAAGGTTATGTGCAGAGCCCATGTTACCCTTTTGCCGGCTTAAGGTCAAGGTTACTCTTGAAGGTCAAAAATTGACTTAGAACATGTTCTTAAATTTTAACATATACTTTATTATTTCTGAAAGTAGCACAGGTATGTGCTTGACACTTTAAAGATAAATGATGTGTCACAAGTAAGACATGCAGGTCAAGTTTCATAACTCTGTATTGCATTTTGACAAAGTAATGCCCCTTTTTAAGTCTTCAAATTTACATACAATCAATACTAGACAATATGTCGTGTCCGCTCTATACATTCTATACTTAAGGATTTTCTTCAAACTAGACTCAAATGTTCACCCCAACTGGGCAATGTGCAGAACCCGTCTAACACTTGCGCCAGCTTAAGGTCAAGGCCACACTTGAAGGTCAAAAATTGACTTGAAAGTGTTCTGAAATTTTAACATGTACTTGAATATTCCAAAAACTAGAATAGATAATCATTTGAAACTTCCAATATATATGGAGTGTCGCAAGTAAGATATGCAGGTCAAGTTTCATAACTAAAAAAGTGGTGGGATAACTTAATATTGTATTTTGACAAAGTTAAGTCCATTTTTATGTCTTTAAAATTATTTACTATAATATTTCTGACAGAAATGAATTGCTTTTGTTTGTTTTAGTACATTGGGAAATTGAAAGGTTATTTGTAACTGTTTATAATTGTTTCGAACATGATTTGACAATATATATTTATACTTTTACCTGTACATTTTGTCTTTTTTTACCAGAGATAATTTCTTTTTATGTATATGTATTTGTGCCACTAAAGTTATTCCCTTAACCACTTTTTAAAGTCGTCTTCTGTCAAGGACATTGGTGGGGTATGAATGGCATTCATCGATAGTTCTAGTTTTGTACTGAAGTCATATTACTAACATGTTTACAGTTCACTATTTTCTGCAGGTTACAATCATATTATCTGCTCTGAAACCATTATTTGAACGTTATAAAAATCACATTGAACTTTTCTAATTTATTCATGTTTAAGGCATACCTTGCCTGAACCAAAGAAAAAAGCAAATTTATGTGTCATATAACAAAATCAAAAGAACAGTATAATGGAAAAATTGGTAATTTTGTCTTATTCAAAGCAGAACCAATTCAAGGCTTTTTCAATGTTGCTAAATTTTGCCTGATATAAAGTATTAAATTTTGCTTTCGTCTTTGAGTGTTCGTTTGTACATTATATAACATCATATTTGTTTACGATACCGTATCAATGCACAAATTTTGCGAAGAAAGCAGTACATTTGCACAATATAAAATCTTACTGTAACATTCTACATCAACTGGCTGACAAATTACATTGGTCTCTAAGGGAGCGAAGTTTCCCACTGGCACTTAGTTTGTAAAGATACCCCAATGAATTAACTGGCAAATACTTGTGATTTTACTGTCAATTTTGGACCTGCATGCTTTGTCATAATATATATTCGTATTATTATAATTGTATACCTTTTGTGATGAATGGGATAAGGGGATTCGTGTGATTGTGGGAATACTAACTTATAGTTTTGAAATTTTGTGCCCGTTAACATGCAAACTAACTTGACGTAATGTGTCCATGGCAACGTCAGAACTAATTAATATTGTCTTTTCATTCAGATGCCGGCACTTTTTTCTATGCTAATCAAATGCCGTTTACTACTTACGACCGTGATCTCGACCTGGATTCAGATTTTAACTGCGCTGTGAAGAAACATGGAGCCTGGTGGTATAACGCCTGTTCTTATGTCAATCTAAATGGATTATATGTGACGCCAGGCACGGAATGTGAATTTCCCGGTGCCGTAAATGGTATTTGTGGACACAAACATTATGGATTTGATCTTTTAAATGCATTGAGAACGTCATCAATGATGATAAGAAGAAAATAAGATAAGTAATCAAAAGAAGAGCTCATAAATTCAGAGAAAAACATGACCGTACACAAAAGAACATTTTCTTCTTTTTTTTTTTTTTCATTGATGCCAGCACTTTTAAGTGTTGAGAATTAAGTACCGCTCAAGCCGGTGCTAGAGGGCGTGAGGGATGTTGCACGTATTCGTTATCGCTCATGTACAGACTCATTCAAACCGAGTCTGCAATTCTCTTGTAATTTTGTTGTGATTAATGCTTCCGAGGGAACACTTTTCCAGATTTTTATAATTATCAGTTTTATCTTTGTATTTGCAAAGGTTCGAAAATGATATTTTCCCTTCACAATGCTTACTGGTCCCGAAAATCAAAAAGGTCTGAAATACTACTATAACATTGTATTAAAAGCAAGAAATTATGTTACATTTTTGGCCATATTTCAATTACAAGATAAAGTATAAAACCAACATACATGTATCGTGTTGCATATTTTCCCATATCTTCATTGTATTGAGTTCAACATTTCATACATAGACAAATATTTATATCGTTTATATAAAAAATGTAAAACAAATTAATATTGTATGTTTCTATGGGAAATGTTTTGACAAACCTATATTTTCAGAGTGAGTGATTTTTGTTAGAAATTGTAAAATTATTGTATATTGTATGGTTCTATGGGAAATGTCTTGACAAATATATACTTTCTTAATGAGTGATTTTTGTTTGAAAATTTTAAAACTTTTGTATATTGTATGGTTCTATGGGAAATGTCTTGACAAAATTTATATATACTTTCATAGTGAGTGATTTTTGTTTGAAAATTGTAAAATTATTGTATATTGTATGGTTTTATGGGAAATGTTTTAACAAATATATACTTTCAGAGTGAGTGACTTTTGTTTGAAAATTTTAAAATTATTGTATATTGTATTTTTCTATGGGAAATGTTTTGACAAACATAAACTTTCAGAGTGAGTGATTTTTTTTGAAAATTTTAAAATTATTGTATATTGTACGGTTCTATGGGAAATGTTTTGACAAATATATACTTTCTGAGTGAGTGATGTTTGTTTGAAAATTGTAAAATTATTGTATATTGTATGTTTCTATGGGAAATGTTTTGACAAATATAAACTTTCATAGTGAGTGATTTTTGTTTGAAAATTTTAAAATTATTGTATATTGTATGTTTCTATGGGAAATGTTTTGACAAATATAAACTTTCAGAGTGAGTGATTTTTGTTTGAAAATTTTAAAATTATTGTATATTGTACGGTTCTATGGAAAATGTTTTGACAATATGTACTTTCTGAGTAATTGGTTTTTGTTTGAAAATTGTAAAATTATTGTTTATTGTACGGTTCTATGGGAAATATTTTGACAAATATATACTTTCATAGTGAGTGATTTTGTTTGAAAATTGTAAAATTATTGTATATTGAATGTTTCTATGGGAAAAGTTTTGACAATATGTACTTTCTGAGTGATTGGGTTTTGTTTAAAAATTTTAAAATTATTGTATATTGTACGGTTCTATGGGAAATTTTTTGGCAATATATACTTTCAGAGAAAGTGGTTTTTGTTTGAAAATTGTAAAATTATTGTATATTGTATGGTTCTATGAAAATGTTTTGACAATATATACTTTCTGAGTGATTGGTTTTTGTTTGAAAATTTTAAAATTATTGTATATTGTATGGTTCTATGGAAAATGTTTTGACAATATGTACTTTCTGAGTAATTGGTTTTTGTTTGAAAATTGTAAAATTATTGTTTATTGTACGGTTCTATGGGAAATATTCTGACAAATATATACTTTCATAGTGAGTGATTTTGTTTGAAAATTGTAAAATTATTGTATATTGTATGGTTCTATGGAAAATGTTTTGACAATATGTACTTTCTGAGTAATTGGTTTTTGTTTGAAAATTGTAAAATTATTGTTTATTGTATGGTTCTATTGAAAATGTTTTGACAATATATACTTTCTGAATGATTGGTTTTTGTTTTAAAAATTGTAAAATTATTGTATATTATTGTATAGTGTATGGTTCTATGGGAAATGTTTTGACATTATATACTTTCAGAGAAAGTGGTTTTTGTTTGAAAATTGTAAAATTATTGTATATTGTATGGTTCTATGGAAAATGTTTTGACAATATATACTTTCAGAGTGAGTGATTTTTGTTTGAAAATTGTAAAATTATTGTATATTGTATGGTTCTATGGAAAATGTTTTGACAATATATACTTTCTGAGTGATTGGTTTTTGTTTGAAAATTTTAAAATTATTGTATATTGTACGGTTCTATGGGAAATGTTTTGACAATATATACTTTCAGAGTAATTAGTTTTTGTTTGAAAATTTTAAAATTATTGTATTTTGTACGGTTATGTGGGAAATGTTTGACAGTATATTCTTTCAGAAAAAGGGTTTTTGTTTGAAAATTTTAAAATTATTATATATTGTACGGTTCTGTGGGAAATGTTTGACAGTATATACTTTCAGAAAAAGGGGTTTTTGTTTGAAAATTTTAAAATTATTGTATATTGTATGGTTCTATGAAAATATTTGACAATATATACTTTCTGAGTGATTGATTTTTGTTTGAAAATTTTAAAATTATTGTATATTGTACGGTTCTATAGTTAATGATTTGACAAATATATACTTTCAGAGTGAGTGATTTTTGTTATAAAATTGTAAAATTATTGCATATTTTATGGTTTTATGGAAAATGTTTTGACAATATATACTTTCATAGTTTGCCATTATTGTGTGAAATTTGTAAAGCAAATGTATATTGTATGGCTCTACATTCAACGCATATAAAAATATACTTTCATTATTTATGATTATTGTGTGAAAATTGTAAAACAATTGTACGGTTTAGTGTATGGTTCTACATAAAGGGCATAGAAAAATATATACTTTCATAATTTATGATTGTTGTGTGTAAATATATATTTAGTACGTTGGCAGAGTGGTTAAGGCGTAGGACTTAAGTTCCAATGGACGAATGTCCACGTGGGTTTGAACCCCACGCGTACTAATCATTTTACCTAACTTTACGATTTTAAATGATTCGCAATGATTTCGTTCACTCGTTGACTGTATTCGTCTTTAAAAAAGGGAAGACGAAGAGACAGATAAGCATCCATCTATCTACTTGTACGTCTTTTTGCTCAGGTTCTAAGAGGTGAGCCTTTTTGGTGGCAGTGTGCCCGTCGTTCGTAATGATCATCAATTTCTTAAAACAGCATCTCCTACTTAACACTCGATGGATAATTACCAAACTTCACTAGCCTTATCTATAGGTCATCCTTGACAGAAGTTGTAAACATTTTTGTTTTGTAAATGGTTCCGGTATGGTGCATAAGTAGGTCATAGTAGCTTAAAACAATTAATATACCCTTTAAAAATTCTTCTCAGAAACTACAATGCCAAGAACAACATTTGTCCCAAGTTATATTAAAATCCCTCCATGCACGTAGAAGTTACGCTCAGGACATTGGTCTTGTGCTAACCCCCAAGTGTGACCATGACCTTTGAGCCGCGGACCTGGGTTTTGTGCGCAACACAACAACCCATTATAGTGAGCATCTGTATTTTTTTTGTAATCCTTCAAAGAATGAACAATATATAGACCAGACAAATCCGGACGGACGCACTGAAGCACATACACAGACATGTATGCCAAAAGTGACGACTTAGTTGAGTTCACAATAAAAATATGGGCTCGACAATAAAAACTGTCACCTGTTCAAGCAATGTATCTCAGGTGAGCAATCCAGGGCAATTATGGCCCTCTTGTTGTTTTCAAACACCAATGGTCATATTGCGAAGTTGCTGATGTTTGTTTTGGTTTTTCGTCACACCGACACAAAATAGGTCATATGGCGACGTTCCAGCTTTACTGGTGGAGGAAGATCTCAGGTGCCCTACCGTGCATTATTTCAGGCACGAATGGGCACCTGAGTAGAACCAACGACGTTCCGTAAGCTACCTGGATAGGTTTCTAACATGAAAGAATCCAAAGTCTCTGTCGGACTCGAACCCACAGCGGTGAAGGTTGGTGATAAAAATTTGCTTTACCATTGAATCATTAAGTTTCCGTCTATCTATAACTTGCAGAATACCGGTATAGTATAATTATGTTAACCATTGTAATCTTGTTGTATAGTTATATTAAATGATAAGGATTGGTCTCGTATAACTTGGAGTTTACGATTGTGGCCTTTGAATTATAAAGCAGAAATACTGGGATGGTCAAAAAGCAAACAACCATTTACTTGTCTCTCAAAAAGATAAAAAACAAAACAGAACAAATGTTCAGATACTATTTTTTATTATACCTTCACACAAATAAATCGGGAAATTTACAAAAACACTTTTTTCTAATCAACGTCACCATCAGTTTCATGCATGTTGCCAAAAATAGTTAAATAAAAAAAATTCTACCTTAAAGGGCGGGCCATAATCAATATTTATTTGCCATTTTACATTTTTTTTCATTTTCTTATAACGATCTTACACAGGTTTTTTTATATACATAAACATCATTCAAAAGCCAAAATTAAGGATTTGAGGGTGTTACTAATATGCCTAGATACTATCGCCCATCAAATAAGCTGTTGAGTGAATTTATTCTGGTTGAATCCATAATAACAATGTGACAATGTAAAAGGTTAACCCACATACACTTGAAACAGAAATTAACTAGCCCTTGCCACCAGTATTGAACCGATGCCCACCTGCACTATTTGACTATGCTGGAAGCTCATTATTTTCTCTAGATTTTGAAATTAATATTGAAATCCGTTTTTCTTTGAATGGTTGGTTCCAAATCAAAATGAGGGCAAAACCATCACACAAAAATCAGCAGGTTAAACAATAATATCAGATGTAGAACTTGATAGATCAGAGTGAACTTTTAAAAAATTTAATTATTATACCGGTATTGTTGCCTATTTATTTCCAAAATAATGTTACACTGATAATAACAGGTGACCTAGGGAGGGCTCTCATTCAAAACCTCTGAGTTCTGCAGCAGACATCCTACCAGTTAAGCTTTAACTACTTCTCTCTTTCTGGGTATATTGAACACTTGATAAGCAATTATTTCTACACATCAAACATTTTCTATTAAGAACAATATATATATTATTATTGGTTTTTTTTTCTAGGGATTCTAAGACAAACATATAAAAGCACTATTTATTAAAAAAGAAACATATTTACATAAAAGTAAGAAGAGTATTGCATATTATATAAAAATATGTACATTATTTTCAACATTGGAGCTAGGAAAAGTCTTACTTTTTACAGTCGAAATGACCACTTAATTCAGAAAAATAGGACAATAATCTATCAAAATGAAAATAATTTAAAATGAATTGATTTGGTTGAAAAAAGTTTTTCTAACTCTAACTAAATAATTATATAATGATGTAAACATGACATTGCATACAGTTGCCATGGGAACTAAATTTGCTGCCTTTTTTAAAAATGCATTGTTGCTATAGTTATAAAGGAGCTGCCATTGTTGCAGTATCTTGTGTGTTTACAATAGTTATATGAAATGATGAAAGGTTACCAATACTTATATTACCATATATTCTATAATAAACACTCCCAGGGGAGTTACATTTTCCAAAAGGGGGACGCATTTATAATGGTAAAAAAGATAAATATCATTAATTTAAAATAAATGTGGACTGCTAATAGTGGATGCACCACCTATGTTAAAAGTTTGTGCTTTATTCCTTGGATTTATAAAAAAAATTACTGCTATCATTTTGGCAGTAACTCAGTTTTCTAGGGTGCATTTATAAGGATAAGGGGCATTTTTTAAAGAATAAACGGTAACCATGATGTTCAAAAATGGTGATGTGACCATGAAATAATATAAAATTTTGGAAGACTTCATAATAATGGTCTATATATTCAAATTGTTACTTCATGATGAGAACAAAAAAAAAACAGATGTTTTTTTCACACCATTTATGATGACATAATAGTGATGATAATTATAGTTATGATGAATGATATGGTTAGCATGATGATATAAATGATGATAATGATGAAAAATATGATACACAATATGATGACAATGACATGATAAAAGAAATCAGGATGAGAACCAGAAGATTATCTGTTCAGATGACAACATTTGAGATGATGAATGTAAGGAAGACATGATTATGATTAAACGATTTGTGACATGAATATGAACATGATCTGTGAAACAAGATCTGAAGGCTGAAAATGATTTGGGACACAACGATGAACATGATTTGTGATGACAATGATTAACATGATTTGTGACATGATGATGAAAATGATCTGTGACACAATGATCTGTGACACAATGATGAACATGATTTGAAACATGATTATGAAAATGATCTGTGACACAGTGACGAAAATGATCTGTGACACAATAATTAACAAGATTTGTGACATGATTATGAAAATGATCTGTGACACAATAATGAACATGATTTGTGACCGACGCCCTGGTGACTGCAATAACTCATTCTTATCGAATAGTTGAGCTAAAAATGGGTGACACAATAATTTTCTTATTTGTGACATCATGAACATGATTTTTGACACATTGATGTACATGATTTGTGACATGATGATGCTTAACACGAGTTGAGACATGATTATGATGAACATGATTGGAGACATGATTATGATGAACATGATTATGATGAACATGATTATGATGAACATGATTATGATGAACATGATTTGTGATGCAAAAATGAACATAATTGTGACATGATTATGATAAACATGATTATGATGTACATGAGTTGAGAGATGATTATGATGAACATGATTTGTGACACGATAATGAAAATGATATTTGACACAATTTGTTTGTTTGTTAAATTGGGTTTTATGTCACACCAACATAGTCTGTCATATTGCAACGTTCCAGCTTTACTGGTGGAGGAAGACCTCAGGTGCCCTTCAGTGCAATGTGACACAGTTAACATGATTTTCAAATGTTGATGAACATGATGTGAGCCGTGTCATGACAAAACCAACATAATGGGAAAATTTTAAAATGTGTAAAATGAATAGTTTGTCTGAAATTGATGATGGTAAACAAAGATCACAATGGTTATAAACACAGATGAAGATGATAATGAATTACAGAGATGATGAAAATCATGATGATAATTGGCAAGATGATTATTATGATAAAGATGATAATTATAATGATGATTATCCAAAATGACAATTATGGTGATGATTATCAAAAATGATAATTATGAGAGTATTTATCCAAAATGGCAATTATGACATTAATTATCCAAAATGGTTATTAGGACAATAATTATAAGAAATAATAAATATGATATTTATCAAAATAACGATATTTATCCAAAATGGTTATTATGGTGATGATTTTCCAAAATAAGATTATTATGACAATTATAATTATTCAAAATGGTAATTATAGTAATAATTATCAACAAGAGCTGTCACCCAAGTAACAAATGCCCCCGTAAAAGGTTTCTTAAGCATACAGGTATTGTCACTATTATGAAAAGGAAAAGAGAATGAAAGTAACAAATTGCTTAATATTGATCTTTGTATTATTGTACCTGTATTCTCTAATTGTGATAGCGTGAACCTTCAAAATGTAAGTGTGACCTTGAGCCTTTGAATCCTGGACATGACAGAATGCTGTTATGACATTTGTGCCAAGCTATTTCAAAATCCCTTAATGCATGACAAAGTTACAGTCTGCACATGAATGAAGTGGGGACACACAGAAAGACAAACAGATGGAAGGACAGACAGTGCGATTTTAATATGCCTCCCTTCGGGGGGCATAAAAATGATAATTATGACAATAATTATCCAAAATGGTAATCTAAATGATATGATAAGCATAGATTATTACAATAATGATGATAATCAAAGATAATTAACATGATAATTTTGATACTTATTTTGATTTTAATGTTAATAACACTTTTTTAGCCATTTCTTGTGTGTCTAGCTAACCTTACCAGCTTTCCTGGATAACTAACAAGTAATTATTAACAGATTATCAAGTGAATGACTTCACTATCAAAAGATAATGATAATGATAAAGATGACAGAATCAGATGTTAGTTGTTGTATCTATAGTAAATACAGGTATTTCGTATTAGTATGCAAAAGGGGATGAAATTTTTTCCTCCCTGATGATGATTACATGATGATGATGATAAAATATTGATGACAAGATAATGATGATGGTAAATGATGATTATGATGATAAAATGATGATTACATGATTGACATGATGGTCAAATGATGATAATGAAATGATGAGGACTTTAAAAATGATGACAGAATGACAAATTGATGATGATGACAATATGATGACATGATGATGATCACATAGCATTGATAAAATGGTGATGACTTTTGTTAAAATAAAACTTGATCTCCCGTTTTATTTTGACACTTTTTTTCCTATTCAAGATACCAAGCTCTATGATGGCTATTCATGAAACAGAAATCCAATACTTAAAAGTACATGTATGAACAATTTATAGATTGCTGTTATTAAGTTTTGATAATCATGCCCCATGAATAACTAGAATACACTCCAAAAAATTTCACATTAGGGTCAATAGACCCCATGTCTTAAATTTCTAGGGAAATATGTGTCAGGATAAAAATGGTTGATGATAAAATGATGATAATATGATGATGATTATATGATGACAATGACCATCAATGATGATTCTATGATAATGACATGATGGCATGATGATAAAATCGTAGCATGATGATAAAATGGTTACATGATTATAAAACGGTGACATGGTGATAAAATTATGTCATAATGATAAAATGGTGACATTATGATAAAATGGTGACATTATGATAAAATGATGACATGATGATAAAACTGTGACATGATGATAAAAGGGTGACATGATGATAGAATGGTTACATGATTATAAAATGGTGACATGGTGATAAAATAATGTAATAATGATAAAATGGTGACATTATGATAAAATGATGACATTATGAACAAGAGCTGTCGGTAGGACAGCATGCTCGACTATTCTTAGTGCTTGATAGTAAAAAAATGCCTGATACAGTTACCTCCTCCTGTTTACAGGTTGGGGTCATGATGGTGAACAAGTGTGCAAAGTTTCAAAGCCATATGTCAATGGACTTTGAAAATATTTGAACTATTACAAAAACTTTAACGTAAATTCTAAGTCGAAAAAGGGGCATAATTCTGTCAAAATGCTTGATAGAGTTACCTCCTCCTGTTTACAGGTTGGGGTCATGATGTTGAACAAGTGTGCAAAGTTTCAAAGCCATATGTCAATGGACTTTGAAAATATTTGAACTATTACAAAAACTTTAACGTAAATTCTAAGTCGAAAAAGGGGCATAATTCTGTCAAAATGCTTAATAGAGTTACCTCCTGCTGTCTACAGGTTGGGGTCATGATGTTGAACAAGTGTGCAAAGTTTCAAAGCCATATGTCTATGGACTTTGAAAATATTTGAACTATTACAAAAACTTTAATGTAAATTCTAAGTCGAAAAAGGGGCATAATTCTGTCAAAATGCTTGATAGAGTTACCTCCTCCTGTCTACGGGTTGGGGTCATGATGGTGAACAAGTGTGCAAAGTTTCAAAGCCATATGTCAATGGACTTTGAAAATATTTGAACTATTACAAAAACTTTAACATAAGTGGTTACGCCGACGCTCGGGTGACTGCAATACTTCTACTTATTCTTATCGAATAGTCGAGCTAAAAATGATGACATGATGATAAAACTGTGACATGATGATAGAATGGTGACATTATGATAGAATGGTTTCATGATGATAGAATAGTGACATGATGTTTAAATGGTGACATGATGATAAAATAAGACCATGATGAAAAATAATGGCATGATGATAAAATGGTGACATGATGATAAATTGTTGACATGATGATAAAATGGTGGCATGATGATAGAATGGTGACATGATGATAAAATGGTGACATGATTATTAAATGAGAGCATGATGATGTAATCGTGGCAAGATGATAAAATGGTGACATGATGATAAAATTGTGACATGATGATAAAATGATGACATAATATATGATTCTCCATCTAATTTTTATGCTTACAAAAACCTCATAACTATTTATGACATGATAATCCATAAAATAAAAAACAATAATTACATCAAAAAGATTTCCACTAGGATTACAATGTTTGCATGATCTACAATGATAATGATGAAAAAAAGAAGAAAATATGAAAACAAATTACACAAATTATTGTATTCATTGTCATGGTAATTATTTCAATTTACATAACTGAGGCATAACTGAATTAATTAACAACTTAGGTTTTTGAATTCACAATGACTGTCACATAACCTGATGCAAATGAGGAAAACCTTGATGGTGTTGTAATGTTTGACATGATGCCTTGATGATGAATGAAAATGACCTGATGATGCATTAAAATGACAAGATGCATTTAAATAACATGATGAATTAAAATGACCTGATGATGCATTAAAATGACATGATGAAACATCAAAATGACATGATGATGAATTAAAATGACATGATGATGCATTAAAATTACATAACGATGCATTAAAATGACCTGATGAAATATCAAAATGACATGATGATGCATTAAAATGACCTGATGATACATTAAAATGACATGATGATGAATTCAAATGACATGATGATGCATTAACATGACCTGATGATACATTAAAATGACATGATGATGCATTAAAGTAACATGATGATGTATTAAAATGACCTGATGATGCATTAAAATGACCTGATGATGAATGAAAATGACATGTTGATGAATTTAAATGACATGATGCATTAAAATGACATGATGCATAAAAATAACATGATGAATTAAAATAACATGATGCATTAAAATGACATGATGATGCATTAAAATGACCTGATGATAGATTAAAATGACATGATGATGCATTAAAATGACATGATGATGCATTAAAATGACATGATGATGAATTAAAATGACATGATGATGAATTAAAATGACATGATAATATTTAAAATGACATGTCTATATTTAAAATGACATGATTATGGTTTCAAAAGACATGATGATGCATTAAAATGACCTGATGATGAATTAAAATGACATGATGAAACATCAAAATGACATGATGCATTAAAGTAACATGATGATGTATTAAAATGACCTGATGATGCATTAAAATGACCTGATGATGAATTAAAATGACTTGATGATGCATTAAAATGACCTGATGATACATTAAAATGACCCGATGATGCATTAAAATGACCCGATGATACATTAAAATGACCCGATGATGCATTAAAATGACATGATGATGCATTAAAATGACATGATGATGCATTAAAATGACCTGATGATACATTAAAATGACCTGATGATGAAATAAAATGACATGATGATGCATTAAAATGACATGATGATGAATTAAAATGACACGATGAAACATCAAAATGACATGATGCATTAAAGTAACATGATGATGTATTAAAATGACCTGATGATGCATTAAAATGACCTGATGATGAATTAAAATGACTTGATGATGCATTAAATTGACCTGATGATACATTAAAATGACCCGATGATGCATTAAAATGACCCGATGATACATTAAATTGACCTGATGATGCATTAAAATGACCTGATGATAAATTAAAATGACCCAATGATGCATTAAAATGACCCGATGATACAATAAATTGACCTGATGATGCATTTAAATGACCCGATGATGCATTAAAATGACCCGATGATGCATTAAAATGACATGATGATGCATTAAAATGACCTGATGATGCATTAAAATGACATGATGATGCATTAAAATGACCTGATGATGCATTAAAATGACCTGATGATGCATTCAAATGACATGATGATGCATTCAAATGACATGATTATGGTTTCAAATGACATGATGATGAATGCCAATGACATGATTTATTATGATGAATCCTGTGATGATGTGGATTATAAGAAAAACACACTGCAACCCTTTGATAACACCATGTCGGGCTTCAAGGTCCCAAAACCTGGAGTTAAAATATGGTTCTGATTTATAAAGCTCATAGCCAAATTACAGCATTACTCCACCTACCACCTATTCATATAACGGTCATGAATTTTTTACTTTCAAATTAATAAAATATATATATTTGTTTTCTAAAACGATTTAGTAGGGCATACATGTATATTATTTTGTAAAATGTTACTAATTATGTCTAAAAGAAACAGAAAACTTTCCAAAGAAAAATATAAATCACAAATGTTAACAAAACCCTTATAGTTGTAGTAAAAGTTTCCAACTTCAGTTATGTTCCTTAGTTACTTAGATAAACACCATTTATCTGCGGTCTCAATATTATCTTTTTTTTGCCGTTCAACAGAAAACCTAGAGGCATGTCTTATGAGCATTATACTGTGGTAAGCTTTATAACGAAGTGGTAGTGTATTCCCAGAAAAAAAGTTCACAGAAAAAAAAATATTCAAGTAAATAAGTCTACATTACTACTACCTGTGACCCAATTACTACATAATAGAAACTTAAACAAATATCTGCACAGAAATTACTATTACAATTATTATCATAAAAAGAGAAATTAGAAAATAAATTATCTTTAAGTGACATTATGCTCATTTTTTTCCAATTGACAAGTTGATCTCAGTTCACTAAATATTTCAAAATATTGTTTGTTTAAATGGTGACTGACCAACAGAATGGAAAATGTTTAGGATAAAACATAACTCTGTCTAAATTATAAAAAAAAAGAATTTGCTCCACTCTTTTTATTAATTGAACGTTTTGATGGATATTTACAGAAATTTCTTTACGCTAATTTAGTTACTTATTGTTCTTGCGACATAATTATAAAATTATAATTAGGTCTAACCACAGCTATTTGCCATTTTTGTCAAATTTTAACATAATTTTCTTTCTAACAGGTATAATCACACCAAGGTTTCTTTCTTTTTAATGACAAGATTGTATTTTTTACCAAGGTAACAATGTTGTTGCACAATTTTTACTCATTAAATGTTCGAATGTTCTCCATTTTTTCAGAAGATTTGGGTTTAAGTCCCCTAACTACTGGTTCACATCTTCTTAAACTTAAAGAGGTTGCGAACATCTTGTGGCACAGCCTTGAATCGTGGTATAACTGACCTCTTTACTACTGAAAAGTCTCGGTTGAGTGCACCTGTAAAAGTGAAGAAAAAAAATATTACAATTCTTATATACAAATCTACAGCTGACTTAATTTAAAGGTCAAATAAGGCCCTAAAATTGATACCAGTCTTTTTCTTATTATCTCAAATCCATTTTTATTTTTGGTGACCTTTTACAGTTCCCAAACAGTTAATAATTTGCCAGCTGAGCCAAGGTCTAAAATAAAATTTAATTTGTGTCCCTTTTCCTACCTACCCAACAAATTTGCCCCTACCCGAAAGATTTTTTCAGGTTCTTAGGGGATGAATGTATTTTTTTTTTCTTTTAGAGTACAATAGTTACAATCTAATCTGATGTTTTAGGCAGCTAGCATAGTAAATAAATGTCAGTTGTGAATATGGTAACGCAGGTACAAATACTATTGCACTTAATGAATTAATTCTAATAGTTCATTATACATATATGCAGATTATTTATTATTATGCACTCATAACCAACCTACCCAACGGGGCGGGAGGGGGAAACAAATTAAATTTTATTTTTGGCCCAACCTTTGGAACTTTTCCTAGTTGGCAATATGTAAATACATAGTGATTTAGAATTTTCTACGAGTATATAACCTCAAATCTACACACCTCGCCAATTATAAATTATCATCTGTCACGCACAATGAAGAATGAAAGTAATTCATAATTCTACCATGTGAAATTTAGTGTATCATGCATGAATGTACGCAAAATCTATTTTTAGATCAATAACTTGTTCTAAAACATTCACATTCAGCTGTAAGCTGGAAAGTAAACTTAAACTTAAAACTGTTGTTAAAGTCAGGCCATCCTTAAAAAAATGTTTGTTTGCAGTAACCCGACCCAGAATTTTCAAGGTGGGTAGGTTGGTCGATTTTTTTATTTTTTTTTTTTATTGAACAGACACTCCCAAATAAACATGGAATTCAAAATGCTTGACAATATATGCTTTGTCAATCTGGTAACAATTTATTAATTGATAACTGAATTCTAATTTAATAAGAACTACATTTTATTTCTTATATTAACCTTTAAAAGAAAGAAAACAAAACACAAGGCATAATTTTCTGATTCAAAAAAGTAATTTTTCATCCAGACCATGAAAAAAAATTTGAGTAGGGGCAAATTTTGTGAGTCGGTCGCGTTACTGCAAACGAACATTTTTTTAAGGATGGCCTCATTCTTGATTGGCAATTTGAGGGTTGAAACAATTCACCAAATGTTTGGTCCAAATTTTGATTTCTGGCACTCCGATTCAATAAGTTTATATTTGTTTCATGACAGTCATCAGCGTTTTCGTTTGATCCTTGAAATGACTCTTTGATCCTTCAAATTTCCAAAAGGCCTGATTTGACCCTCAGGATTTTAAGGGTCAAATTAAGTTTTGACCTTGTAGTCAGTAAAACTTTGTCAAAATGACCCTCAGGATTTCTTGCCTAGTGATCACCCTGTGTCTGATTGCTATTTTGTCTTTCATTAACAATTCTGCTTATTTGCTCTTTCAAGTGAGTGGCCCTTCAAAGGTATACCTGTAGCATTAAGGATAATGACGGCATCATGGGTCGCCTGTATAGCAACACGGCTCCATGGCAACGTGGCCCATCTACCAGCTGTATCTATCCAACCCAGTAGTGAGAATAACACAAAGAACTGAAAGTAAATTCACATCAAATGTTGATTATTACAAAACTTGCCCTTATCATCTTTAAGTAATACTTTGAACAGCATTTCACTGAAATATTGATACCAAATTACTGTAGGTTCAAAACATGTACTGATTTCAATTGAACAAGAAATCAGGGTTCGTACAGATATCCAATGCCAAAATTCAAGGACTTTTTAAGCACTATTTAAGCATAATTTCCCATTTTTCAAGCACATTTGTTGCACATTTATCTACACAATCTTCAACTTAAAAAGGATAGTTAATTCGCCATTTTTTGTTGAATACACATTTTCCTGGCCACAATTTTAAGGTTTTTATAGAAGAATAATAAAGGGCGCATAAAAAACAATTAGTTCAAAGCAACTGCAATTTGTCCACTTACTATTACATTGAGCAAACATTTCATTGATTTTGATATTAAATTTGATCATTCTTTTGATTTTCTTAACTATTGACTTTTATCTATTCTGTCATTCAATATTTTTCAAGCACATTTTTAGCAAATTTAAGCACTTTTTAAGTACTTTTCAAGACAGTAATCAAATTCAAGGACTTTTAAGCACTTTTTTACAAATTTAAGCACTTTTTAAGAAAAGGACTCAAATTTAAGCACTTTTTAAGACTGTACGAACCCTGAAGATGAATGAAATTATATTGTGCCAACCTCTGTCAAGTATAATATTACAGTAGAATTCTAGGAGCTGAACTCCTATTAGTCGATTTTCTCAAAGCGTCAAAGTAAAATGAAAGTCTTGATTTTTCCCCCTATATCTTACTTATAAAAAACCTACAGATGGGTCGAAATTTTATGTTTTTATTTCCGATCAACTTATGTGATAGGTGTAAATTACATTTCACAGCTGTGCGTTCAAACAGCCTTTGTATGCTTATCAAGGTGTGATAGAATATTTCAATTGTAATCCTTCAAATTTCTGTAGAGGTATTTGAAAGTAAACAGTAAGAACTACTTTCATTTGAGACCTTCCCTGACCAGGTGTCGTGAGATACTCACACGGGATATATTTACTATAAGCTGGTTGAGTTATTGCCCTTTGCTTTTGGTATGCCTTTTCTAACTTGCTTGTAACTGTCAATAGCGGGAAATCTTGTCATGAAATTGAGACCGATTCATAAGTTTAAGTCCTGATGAGTGGAAGTTGTTACCCAAGTCCCTTCAACTTCCACTTACAGAAGTTCTACTGTATTTTATTAAACAAGTTCAATAAATTAAATGAAGCTGCATCAGTCTGTATAATATTCTATCTATCACATATAAAAAATAAGAACTGTTTACGGTTAATGAATTGCTTTTTCATTGATGCGCTTATTAAATAATTCAGTGCGTCTTTCCTTTTTGTTTGTGTACCGCCAATGACGTCATGCCAAAATATATGCACAGCTGTGCAAAATTGTTTTAACAAAGTCAAAAATCAGCACAGGTATGTGATAAAATTTGTTAAATTATAAAGATACTCTGCTAGTACATGTACGTATCTTACAGGGTAGAAACAGATATAACAAGCAATTATCATAGTATTGCAAGCAATCCATAAGTCCCCTACCGGTAAGAGCCCAAGCAACATTCTGAAGGACCATTGGCCATTCACTTAGGTTCCTATTTTAAGTAAATTTGTTGAAAAAGTTCTTTAAAAGTGATCACAGGAAACAGTTTTTATGTACAGACAGACGGACTGAAGGACACTCTAAAGTTATTTTTTAAACATCCCTGTTATCAAAATATAACATTTTTAAAATCCTATCATGATTGAAGAAGTTGGAGTAAAAATTACCAATTTCTCAAAAAAAAAAAATCTAAGTTCAAAAGGGGCATAATTCTGGAAATAGTCTTGCTAGAGTATTGAACACTCACAAATGTTGAGTGATAATAAGAAACATTTATATGAAGTTTGAAGTAGATACATTCAGAAAAAGAAGTTATTAAAAAAAAAAACAATGTTTTTTTCATGAAAATTTTAAGTTCAAGGGAGGAAATTCTGATAAATTTTGTGCTAGAGTTGTAAACCTTGTCACATACAATGTGGTTGATTACAAGCAACTTATATTTAAAGTTTGAAGAAAATACCTTAAGAAATAAAGAACTTATAGTGAAAAAATTTAAAAACTAGAATCAGAAATCTTGAACTTCAGTCTATTTGTTGCCATAGCAACCAGAATTTTCAACATAGGAAGATAAGAAAAGAATGTGCATAATTTCCATACTGCCATCTACCCATATGTCAAGTTTCATAAACATATTTTCAGTACTTTTTGTGTTATCACTGGATCCAGGTTATGTGTAAAATTTGCCATATTTTCAGTCTATTTGTTGCCATAGCAACCAGAATTTTCAACATAGGAAGAAAAGAAAAAGACGTGCATAATCTCCATACTGCCATCTATCCATATATCAAGTTTCATTAAAATATTTTCAGTACTTTTTGCGTTATCGCGGGATCCAGGTTATGTGTAAAATTTGCCATATTTTCAGTCTATTTGTTGCCATAGCAACCAGAATTTTCAACATAGGAAGAAAAGAAAAAGACGTGCATAATCTCCATACTGCCATCTATCCATATATCAAGTTTCATTAAAATATTTTCAGTACTTTTTGCGTTATCGCGGGATCCAGGTTATGTGTAAAATTTGCCATATTTTCAGTCTATTTGTTGCCATAGCAACCAGAATTTTCAACATAGGAAGAAAAGAAAAAGACGTGCATAATCTCCATACTGCCATCTATCCATATATCAAGTTTCATTAAAATATTTTCAGTACTTTTTGCGTTATCGCGGGATCCAGTTTTGTGGACGGACGGACTGACGGACGGATGGACAGACAGACGGACAGACGGACGGAGGGTAAACCTAAAGTCCCCTCCGGTAAACCGGTAGGGGACTAATTAGTACAATTACTAATGTCACAAGGTAAAATTTGTGTGATCATGTACATTAATCAAAGCTCTTAAATGATTACCAGAGGATACATGGTCTGCATGAACAAGATTTAAATTCCAGGACATTCCTGTAAGGTTATTTTTTTTCAAAATCAGCCGAGGGGTTGAGGAAATGGCATTTAAGGCAAAGCCTCAACCAAAATGGGGCAGCCAGGAGAAAAGAGCAAGAAAGATCATACTGGCCTGCTGGCCTAGCTCTGTACTGGTAGCAAAGGCTTATCACTTGCAGTTCCAGCAAGTAAAGGTTTATGGTTCAGTACATTGTACATGGATCATTTTATCTTGAAAAAAGTCTTTGCCTATCATTTAAACATACTTATGTTATCACTGACTGATGATCATTATTTACCATTAGATAAACAGTTTTATCATCAATTACAGAGTAAATCTTTTTAAGTAATACTTTAACTGTCGGTACCTACCAGCCACTGACTAAAGACCAGTATATCCTTCTCTGCAGGACGAAGGAAGTTTGCGGCACGATTGGCAACAATGGCCATACCCAGCAGCATCGTGCCATTGGCTCGAGCCAGAAAGGCGTGAACAGTATCAACTTTCTCCACATTCATGCTCTGAAAATTTATATATCATAGCTTGAAAATTTATATATCATAGCTTTGAAAATTTATATATCATAGCTTGAAAATTTATGTATCATAACTTGAAAATTTATATATCATAGCTTTAAAAATTTATATATCATAGCTTGAAAATTTATTCATCATAGCTTGAAAATTTATAAATATCATAGCTTTAAAATTTATTTATCATAACTTGAAATTTTATATATCATAGCTTGAAAATTTATAAATATCATAGCTTAAAAATTTATTTATCATAACTTAAAAATTTACATATCACAGCTTGAAAATTTATATATCACAGCTTGAAAATTTATATATCATAGCTTGAAATTTTATATATCATAGCTTGAAAATTTATTTATCAAAACTTGAAAATTTATATATCATAGTTTGAAAATTTATTTTATCGTAGCTTGAAAATTTATAAATCATAGCTTGAAAATGTATTTATCATAACTTGAAAATTTATGTATCATAGCTTGAAATTTTATAAATCATAGCTTGAAAATTTATATATCATAACTTGAAAATTTATATATCATAGCTTGAAAATTTATAAATATCATAGCTTAAAAATTTATTTATCATAACTTAAAAATTTATATATCACAGCTTGAAAATTTATATATCATAGCTTGAAATTTTATATATCATAGCTTGAAAATTTATATATCATAACTTGAAATTTTATATATCATAGCTTGAAAATTTATAAATATCATAGCTTAAAAATTTATTTATCATAACTTAAAAATTTATATATCACAGCTTGAAAATTTATATATCATAGCTTGAAATTTTATATATCATAGCTTGAAAATTTATATATCATAACTTGAAAATTTATATATCATAGCTTGAAATTTTATATATCATAGCTTGAAAATTTATATATCACAACTTGAAATTTTATATATCATAGCTTGAAAATTTATGTATCATAACTTGAAATTTTATATATCTTAGCTTGAAAATTTATATATAAATATATCATAGCTTTGAAAATTTATTATCATAGCTTGAAATTTTATATATCATAACTTGAAAATTTATATATCATAGCTTTGAAAATTTATATATCATAGCTTGAAAATTTATATATCGTAACTTGAAAATTTATTTATCATAGCTTGAAAATTTATAAATATCATGGCTTAAAAATTTATTGATCATAACTTAAAAATTTATATATCACAGCTTGAAAATTTATATATCATAACTTGAAATTTTATATATCATAGCTTGAAAATTTATGTATCATAACTTGAAATTTTATATATCATAGCTTGAAAATTTATGTATCATAACTTGAAATTTTATATATCATAGCTTTGAAATTTATATATCACAGCTTGAAAATTTATTCATCATAGCTTGAAAATTTATATATCATAGCTTAAAAATTTATTTATCACAACTTAAAAATCTATATATCACAGCTGGAAAATTTATATATCATAGCTTGAAAATTTATGTATCATTACTTGAAATTTTATATATCACAGCTTTGAAATTTATATATCACTGCTTGAAAATTTATGTATCATAACTTGAAATTCTATATATCATAGCTTTGAAATTTATATATATATCATAGCTTGAAAATTTATTTATCACAGCTTGAACATTTATATATCACAGCTTGAAATTATATATATTACAGCTTGTTAACTGAGCAATCTGGTAAACTCAGCAATCTGGTAAACTAAGTATTCTGAAAAACTGTGCAATCTGGTATTTAGACAAATCATCTTGTAAGATCAGAAAACTGTCTAATAGCAAAGACATAAATATCAAATATTATTTTATTTTTTAAGAAATAAGACTCTAAATAAAATATACCATCATTTTCACAGTCCAAGATGGCATCGTGTAGAAGAGAATGCCCATCACAAGCAACAAAACAAACTGTAGCCGTAGATGGAAGTTGGCATGGGATTGCTGTTCCCCAAATCCTCCCCAATCATTTGACTTGACAGTGAAAAACAGCGAGCCAACAGCAAACAGCAGCGTAATGAAGAAAATGCTGTTCATATCCTGAAATAAAATCCTAGAGGTTATGGACAGGCAAACTTGAGTTAAAATAATCTAACTTAAAAGAGCCAAAAAGCATGGATAGAGGAATATTTTTTGAGCAACTCAGGCCAATGATGACAGTCACCAGAGGTTATAATATTGCATTCTGGGATAGAATGATGTAATGGGCGTGCCACTAATGCCATGATACGCCATGATGAATTAATTACTAGAAAATACATGTATTTTACTTTGTACTTAACATGAGATACACAATAAAACACATGGGAAGAAGTCTAACCTTTTACCTGCCCTCATATAGACATGTTTTGACGGCTTTTGCCCCCCCCCCCTCTATTTTGAGGCCTCAAACAGTGAAAAAATGTCCTATTTAGGCCCCAAACCCTGTTTTTTGTTTAAGAAATGTTGTTAAAACAAGTGACCGCTTTTTCGGCGCCACCCCCCCCCCCCATCAAACAGTAAGAGAATCCTTCTTTTTTTGTTCTTGACCATATTCAAGACATAACATTCAATAAGGACGAAAAAAAACAATTTAAAACTTACATCAGACTCTATCTTAACAGCCGACTTTTTTGATGGATGCGTCATCAAGTAACCTTTCGCCATTAAACTGCTCACCAACATCTGTAAAAACATGATGAAAATAAAATAATTGAACTGTGTCACGAAAAAAACAACATAGTGCGTTTGCGACCAGCATTGATCTAGACCAGCCTGGACATCCGTGCTGTCTGATCAGGAACTATACTGTTTGCTTACAAATCCTACTACAAGTTGAGAAACTGATAGGGAACAGCATGGATTCTGATAAAACGGCTCGGCTTGCGCAGACTGGTCCGAACCCATGCTGGTCCTTAACGCACTCTGTTGGTTTTGTCATGGCGTTTAATGCTTCCATAAACTCAGTGTGGTAGTTTTGTGGGTTTTTTTCCCACTTACATGTAATTGGGAAGATGCCTTTAGCCTTTTAATTTTGGGAAGAATTATCCCTAAAATTGCTATTAAAATTTGGGAAGTAAAAAAAAGCTTTTGCAAGTCCAGATTTTTGGGAAAACTGCATGATTTTAAAGAAAACTTCTATTGGAAGAGGCCTTTTATACGCTGCAGGGGCAGTCCTTATTGCCCAGATTGTCCCACAGCTTGTATGAACAAGTAAAATTTTTCAAGAATTAACTATATAGACGTTATACGGACAAGTTATGAAATGATTTAGAGAAAATAGGACTAGTAAGTCAAAATCAGATTTTGCCTGCCCTGCAGACTCCTGTTATATAAGGTGAAAAATTACTGACAGCGATTTTTTTGTGCTGATTTTGCATCATTCTATGCCTTTTAAATCAGGAACTTTTAGCTGCTGCATGTGAACTATAGTAACTCAGGTACATGTATTTACACAGAGCCAATCTCAGATGTGTGATTTACATCATACAAAAGTATGTTAAAGTAAAAGTTTTTTTTGTCAAAATCTTTGCAAAGTTTATTCCCCTGCAAAATTTGATGATTTTACAGAATGAAAATAATTAACCAACCTATAAAAATTTACCTTGTTAAGATGATTTACATGCACCACACCCTCCACCCCCCTCCCGAAAATTTTTTATTCAAATCCAATAATGAACTTTTATATTTCTATTCATTCTCTTCTGTGGAACAAAATAAAAAGTTTTAACTAACTTATAGTCCAACTAATTAGATTGTCAGAGACATTGAGATAATTTTGGACAGGGGAACGTCTTTTTCTAATGACTAAAGTAACGATTTGACAGTATGAAAAAAAAATACTTTGAAAAATGGGCCAAACTGTTCATGTCAAATTTAATGACTACTAAATTACCACAGTGTATCCTAGTAAATAACTGGTCTCCGTCGTGGAATCTGTTGACTTGCTTAAGACAAAGTAACCAAATGTCCAAGTAATGCACAGCAAACCGAGAAACCTAGTCAGCAACAAGTGGGTTTCATCTAGCTCACCATGTACCTGTAAATTAATAAAATTGAGTATGCAAGTTAATTTACATGGTCGGTGTGACGTTGCCTGAGTTACTGTCAAATATATAGAGGATATTTGTTTAGTTCATTGTAAGACCAGAATATATTTCACCGAGTGAGCACCAAAAGGTATATTTCACGAGTGGCGCAGTGAAATATGAACCTTTGGTGTGCACGAGGTGAAATATATTTTGATCTTACATTAAACTAAACAAATTTTCTTTTTATTATATGCAAAGAAAAAGACATTTTAACCAAGTAATAAATGAAAAGGGCGCCAAATAAAAGCACAACATGACGTCATTTACGACGTCACTTCATTAAGTTGGTTTCTAGTACTGTGAAGGCTTGTATTTCACTGAATCAACGTAACAGGCTTAAATATTCAAAACAGTGAAATTACCAAATTGATAATTTCACTGTTTAAAACAGTGAAATTATCAGTTTTTATTTCACTGATATATTTCTATAAACCACCGAAACGCATGTAATAAAGGAAGACCATTTACGGGTGTAAACTTTTTACAACTCGCTGATTAAAAAGTGGCAGGTGTCATAAAAATAAAGCTCAATTAATTGCAATTATTTACATCAGCAATTTACATAAAGGGCAATATGTCCGACGCATCTGCATATCATGTGACTTAAATGTGTTAATTGCAGATAATTATCAGCTGTACCTGTGTTGTCACTAATTCTGTTTAAGTTACGTCTGGAGATGAGGATTGAAGTCATTGACAAGCGCTGTGTGATATGTAAAAAGGCGCAGGGAGTTCGATTTCACTTTGATGTTCAAACTCTGCGAAGTTCGGAACTTAAGACTAAGTCGCCCAAATCACCCAGTTGGGAAAGCCCTGAAGATGGTATATAGGTAATCATGGACAAACAATAAATTGTGATTATTGCCCTAAGGACACAGTATCAAGATGCAGTGCTATGGTATTGATACATTCTTCTCTTGTTTGGTTTTAACTGTTTTGAACAGTACTGATAGTAGTCTCAGTGACTTGTAACGTGTGGGCCAATTTAACAGTGATTTTACACCTTCACGATGCATATCCATATCGGTACCCTCTTTGCGAAATCTGCTCAAACGGTACCCTCTCTGAACATGCACAGGCCATTCTCTACTAAAATCAAACCAGCGATGGATACCAATCCAGTAAAATTTCATTGTAATAAGGAAAGGAGGTATGTCACGTAGAAAAGATGTATACCACGGAACACTAGGATGTTTTAATTATGTGCTGATTTGTCATGTGCCCGATTTTCATGTACTGCAACTTCACAATAAGCTACAAAAAATCGACGTGTCTTGCTTCGCCCATCACCTCGACATATTTTTCGGGCTGAAATGAACCTGTGGCTTGATTATAATTATAAGCATCATATATATTAAAAATGTTCATATATATATCATCTTCGGACAAATGGCAGCATATTGTCAAAAATAAATGTAAAATTCATAAAAACACCCTACTTTCGGTTTTGCAGCGGCACGGGCTACCTCTCTTCATTTGAATTTTTATATCACAGGTACCCTCTCATTTTTTAACACATAGGTACCCTCAAAGCAGGACATATGCTTTTATTTGCGTTAATCGTTAAGTATGTAATATTTACATAAAAGTAAAAAGTATTACATACACACTTTTATATATTTTACAGTAAACTAATTTCGTTTAAAGCAAAAGTGATAAAACTAATTGAATAATCTTTTTATTGAAGTGTGTGAACTCTACTACTCTTCATGATTGGAGGAAATAAAAAAATCTATCTATCTATCTACCTTTGATATACCAGTATACTAAGTAGATAATCTGTTTCACACTTCCTTTAATGTGTCTTTAATTGACAGTATTTTGTTTAATGAATTGAAAGCAAAACATGAATACAAATTGAACTGGCAACACATAGCATGTGACACCAGTAGGTTTACTTAATTTGTTAGCAACAAATGAGTTTTAAAAATAAATTATTAGATGTTATTTGTTTCTGAATTATTTACTAAACAAATATTTACTCTTTGAAATGTTTGTAGATTAATAATTCTGATTATCCTTTAATTGAAAAATTCTAAATCAACAATACTTAAATAATTAAAATAAACATTTAATAGCATTATGTTGTCGCTTATTTACTTTCTAGAAAAAAATGGATGAGGGGTGAAGTGTCTTACTGATTTTGAGGGGTGAAGTGTCTTGAGGGGTGAAGTGTCTTCAAAATTTGAGGGGTGAAGTGTCTGGGGGGTGAAGTGTCTTGCTACCTATTTGTGGTTGTTAACAATCGGTAATTTTTATAAATGCGTTCCCAGGCAAAATTAAGCATACATAGAATCCTTGCTCTGAAATATTTGTGTCCAGCTGTAATAAATTCTGTATAAACCAAATCAAATAGAAATACAGCCATGAGAAATTGAGAGCTTTGGATCGCAGTAAATCATGATGCAAGTTTAATAAAGGCTGTTTTCCCAAGCCCAAAATAGGTTTTAGGTATATTTTCCCCCAAAAAATGCCAATATTTTCCTCTAAAACGCCGCCCTGTAGGCTGCACACATTTGTCACAGGGTGAAAAAATTTGCAGCCTGACCGGGGCTCGAACCAGGACCCTCGGAATACCGTTCTGGGGCTCTACAGACTGAGATATCCGGCGGCTTACATATCTTCTTCCCTAAATAGTTAACAGCTCTGAACTGTGACATATCCTTCATGAATGCAGCTGACTTGTTACATCGGCTAGAAGACTAAATAATTTTATCATTTATGCTAGTCCTAATTATAAGACCTATACGTAACCTATTTCATATTTATTATTCATTAATCTGATATTTTACATTTTTCATTTTCCATGTTACGTTAGGTCTTAACAGATCTTTGCAAAATCGTGTAGCAAAAAAATTGACATTAGACATCGATTTAGATCTAATGAATTTAAACAATTAAAACAGCGTATATTTACATTAATTTTGACCTATTTATGAACAAAACTAAAAAATAAATACCTTTTAACAAAATAATTGAACTGTCACAACCGAAAAGTCATGATTAAATCCTCTCATTTAATTAAATTCTTTGTACAACTGATATACAAATGGCCGCCATACAGTGCGCGAAATCTGATTGGCTAATTCAAATGCAAGCGTTTAAATGAGTCCAGAAGTTTCTAACGGAATATTTTTTCAACGAAATAATTGCCCATGCACCGTCAATGTGTTCAAATATATTTTTCCGTTCAAAAAATTTGAATCAATCTGTAAAACGCTTTACTTAACCATTATGGCCGATGAGCGAAATAGACTGATATTTATATTTTATTTTTAATTGATAAGTACATTGGTTGAAAGTTTTTGTTAATGATAGTTCATGCAATTGAAAGAACAGAAGATAAGCTTTTGAATAAAGCTTGAAAGGCAAGTCAACAGACATTTTTTTAATTTTTCAAAATGCTACGCGTTTTTGAGCAATAACTATTAGACGTAAAGGCTTGACCAACATAAAACTATAACAAGCCTGTAACGTCTAATCTATTGGACTACATTTATGCATGTTAAATTGAACTGAAATTGAAATATTTATAAAATGTGTGGGTAACTTTCATTCTCAGATATACATAAAATAATACACGCTGAAATATATATCTTACCCAAAATCCCAAGTTTTGAGGGAATAGTGTGTAGTTGATGGCTTCTAAAAATAAAGAAAAATTTAAAATGTTGAGCCAAGTTCTTCGTCCTTGAGTTATCATAAAAAGAAACAGAACGCTTGCTCCGATTTCCAACATTCTGTTTCTTGGCAGGTTCAAAAGATCATCTTTTGTCTCAAGGACCCGATCAAGTATCGTTTTGTTGTACATTTTGCCAGAATTTGGTGAATTCTTTGTTTTGATTTTGGCGGAAGTTTTGATTTTCAAAACTGACGCGATGATGGTTCGCTAAATTCCGTCCCAAGTCAGTCAAAGTTCGGTACGGATCCGCAAGCCAGTGGAGACGGCCTACTGAATTTTCGTACTAGATCTATATTTATTATTGTAAATCCATCACATCAAAGACTAAATTCTGGACACAGCATATCATGTATATTTATTATTATATGTCTCTGTTAAAATGCAATCAGTCTTATCAAGGATGATTTGAAATAGGCCACTTCAAAATTTAAAAGACATCATTAAAACTGGTTTGACCCAAAACACATGGATAATGTTGTTATTTTTACTAATTTCTTACATTTGTTTGTTGATTTATTGTACATGACATACATGTGCGTTTTCAGTAAATGTTTACAATGTCTTGGTCAAAGGAACAAATCTATACATTGACACACAGAAGAACAAAAAAGATCTGTTTTTCAAAAATAGAATCAATAGGGATTTTAAATGATCTTATTTAGTTAGTGAATAACTTTCACGAATAAAAGAATTTGTATTAATTATTAATAATCTCAAAAAAGTTTTCTTCTCACATTTTCTATTTATTTTAAAAGAATGTACACATTTCATTAACTCCATTGCTTTAAGCTAATTGCATCATTTTTTCCGCTTTTTTATTCACACATTTTATAGAAACATGATAGTCTTACTGTTGACAAAGGTATAAATTCTGGACAATCTTAATTAGACTTTTCAGTAAAAAAAATGTGCTTGATTATATGTTGAAAGGGCCTTTTATTTAGCTTATCTATATGTGACGTGTAAAAAAATTTGAATAGGTGTAGACACGGCCTAAGTCTCACTCATAAACACCAGCAATCGGAACATCCTCGGCTATAATAATCATAGTAACATTGGAAACAAATTTACATGAAATGTTAAATTCTGTAATATCTTTATAAATAATGCTTTTTGGAACCTACAAGATTGATAAATCTTAATTTGAGCATCATATTCATGATTTATAAAAAATAAAATAAAAAATGTAGAACATGATCTTTAAGAATACAGGCATGTTGCGATTATTCAAATTACTTTGTCATGCTTTCGAAACCACTGGCCTTTTACTAAATAGAGAATGTCCAGTATAATATACATCATCAATGTTAAAAAAAGAGAAAAAGGGGCAGTTATTTTCCGTTTATAAATCATTTTCATATCATTTTCTTTCATATAAATTGACATTATTAATGCGATAAGTAAAGAATGCACATTTTTTACTATGTATTATTAAGACAATGTGGGAAGGACCAACTCTCTAATGTTGTTAAAACGTGTTGTCCGACCCTTTTGCTTTTTGCGAACAACTACAGCATCCATGTTGAAATTTTAAAGTTATTCTATTCTATTCTATACTATTCTATTCTCCATGTTAAAAAATTAAAGTTATTCTATTCTATTCTCCATGTTAAAATCTTAAAGTTATTCTATTCTATTTTATTCTACTGTAAATAAATTCGATAATATTTTGTCTTCTGTTTGCATGTGGCATTGTATCTGTTTTTTATAGAAAGAAAAAAGCAATAAAGTATCATTAAACTAGACTAAAATACAGTGTCAAAGAAAAGACAACAAAAATACCGATGGCTAAATTTAAGACAGATGAATTATACTGTCTTCCATCACATTAATCTATAGCTATAGATGTCTATATAGAATGATGTTCTATAAAGTTCTTTTATTGCGCTTCTTGCATTTCATGGGTCTTTGGAATATAAAATTAAAAATACCCTATAGTAATCCGAATCCTTTTGTTGTTATTTTTTTGTAGAACTTGTTAATATGTGTTAATTATTTTACGACACATATATTAAAATTATCGGTTGTTTCAGACGATTTATTGATGTGTATTTATACAAGAGCAACGCTGTGACAATGATGTTAATGCTCTAGCAGACGACATGAAACCAAGCACTGTATTTCCATGGAAATGGTATTTATCAAAATATAACGTTTTCCCTATGCATTCATATCTCAGGTTTAATTATATTATATACATATTAGTTTGATTTCTTTTTCAAATCTGTTTCATACAAGAAATATTGATACATCTTGCTCATTTTACTTTTACAAATTTGCTTTCTTTTATTTCATCGTCTCTTTTGATATTTTATTTGGAAAAAAATATAACCAATTGTGTTTTTTTATTTTCAATGTCATTTGCTTTGAAGAAACTGTTATTCTATAATGATGGCTGAATAATCATCCAACTTTTTTTTTTATGTTCCCACTAAAAGTGGAAGCACACTGCAATGGGGTCCGTACATCTAAGTGTTTATCCTGTCAACCTTGTCTAATAATTCAACGCTGTGTTTTAAATAACTTAGTAATGGCAGCACCTATGGTAAGATAATTACCCCTATATTTGAAGTTTGAGGTCAATATATAGGCCGTGAAATTTAATATTATAAGATTTAAAATAAAATTTCTTTCCAAGCAATAAAATGTGGAAAAAGACATCAATAAGCATTAGGTTGCTTCCAGTTTAATCCTTGTCTTGAACTGATTGGAAATATGATGTATGTAAATATGCTTATGTGACGAATAAAATATGTTTAAACCAATCAATAAAATGAAATGAATATGTAGTACGAGTAATTTATATTACTTGTTATGTACATTGTGTAAGGCTTCTAGATGACCTTCATTTATTTATACGTCATTAGACCAAGATCATGCAAGGCTTGCGCCTATGGCAGAGTGTTAAATTTATTGATTTCAAACACCAAACTGTATACTGTCAGTCCCAACCGTGCCATCACATTTATTTTATGTGAGTAAAGCTGACCAGCCATCAAACAGAAGGTTACCAAGATGCATGGCGTGTTGTTTTCCACATTTTCCTATTCTATACCTTAGACGCTGCGTGCTCGCGGCGGCTAGTAGATATGCACTCGTCTATTCAGCGATGGGAAAAAAAATAGTATTGCTTTTCTCTATTTTATTTTGTTTTAAAAAACCACACTGTATTCATATTCTCTAAAAAAAACCAACTTTTGTGATGTACAACATGTCACAGAGCTTTAAGGACTTAAAATAAATGTTAAACTGAAGTGATAGCGCCATGTTTGAATATCATATTCTTTTCATTTTTATCTTTTTTTATTTACCTAATAGATAACGTGTCAATGCTAATGACTTGGAACCAAATTCGAACGGGAACAAGAGGTATGACTAAAATACGCAACGCAGATTTGTTTTGCAAATAATTATCAGTTAAGTTATAAAACAGATAAACTGAGTGAAAAAGTAAGTTGTTTTAAAATGTATCATAAATATTTGCGATAGGTTGTTAGAGGATATATGTGACGATTGTTCTCTTTTGCTTAGATTTTTTATTACATTTAGTGGTTCTATACCTAAATTCCCCGGTAAGTGAAATGTAAACAAATATGTTATCTTATATATAGTTTAATCTTTTATAAATAAGAAACAATACGCAACTAAGAATTGATAATATTTAACAATTTATTCATACCTATTATTTGATTTTACATACACATTTTTGCTATTTGTAAATAAACGGAATGTTCAGTTCGTCCTTAAAGTCATTCGAACATTATGCAATTCGCACCCATATTTCGACCAAATATCAATATTTTTTGGACGCTTGATGTCATCACCTTCAAGTCAGTATACCAAACAAACATTTCATTTGTACTTGTTATCCAATTTAATTTGCTCTTACCAGACCTTTCAATCTTTGTCGCAACAGACAAACATTTCAGAATTTCAAACATGGCATTATACTTTGTAAATTATGCACAGGGACTCGGCACAGTGTTTGGATAGTGTAAAACGTAATTCTAGAAAAAAATATATATACTGTATATAAAATATATAGACAAGGGGATGAACACGCCAAATCGACCGACTGTCACAAGTCCACTATATATAAGTCAAAATTGCAAAGTCATTTTTTTTTGTTGATCATATAAAAACATTATTGTCGCCACATAAACCTTTTTTGAACAACAAACCGATATAAGGGGTGGAATATTATATTTTTGCTAGGTCGGACACAACCGTGCAACCTTTTTACACTATCCACACAGTCTTCGAAATTAACGCCAGTCCGAGGCCCAAGGCCACTAAATTTAGCATCGGTCCGGTGATTATTGCAAGGTTGGTGGTCCGACGGACCAGTAGATTTTTTGTCATAAAAAAAATAATATTATAACAAAATTCATCAAAATAATGAAAAAGATAGATCTTCTTGCATTTTTTGCAAATGAAATCAATCAATTCTGGCCTAAATGTTCAAAACACAGTGAGAGATGTCTAAATTGTATTTGAACAACAAACCGATATATGGGATGGAATATTATATTTTTGCTAGGTCGGACAAAACCGTGCAACCTTTTTACACTATCCACTGTCCACACACTGTGCACAATCCCTGTGAATTCATGCATTAGGCTCTACTTTTCCACAAAAATATGCAACTTAATTAATTATTAAACAGGAACATGAAGAAAAATTGATTAGTGCTCCGGATATTAAACTGTAATAGAGAACAATTGTCACGGCTGGTTTTGTACATTATCTGTGACTGTTCGTGTTAACATCATTTGGCGGCGTCTTTGATGTCCAGCATCAACATTTAACTTGTTCATGTATATTATGAATGCCAAATTTTTTAGTCTCCCGGAAGTGATGATTTTGATTAAAAGTTTAGTCGGTAGAGAATTGCAGCTAAAAAGCGAAACAAGTGCGCATACATGAGCTAGACTCAGGTCGCGAATTGGTTGGCTTATTTGACAATTGATGGTAATAGCTTTTTTTCTATTTATGCGAAAAGTTTTTGAAAACAAGTTTAATCTTTGTAACAGATGTCTCAATCGTCTTTTAATGTTTAAATATTTCGAAAGAGTGTTTATAGGGGCTTATCACGTTAGGGGCTAAAAAAACGTCTGTGCGTCCGTGTACAATTGCAATTCGAAAAAGACATTGCCCGTCCAAAATGTCTCGATGTCTCTTTGAAAAGTATGATTAACTGAAATAATATATATTAACCATCATGTATTATAAACCGGAAGTACAACCTTTAGATTACGTGCATGAACCTGTTGACGATATTTTGGATTTGTTCATAATTGATAACATTCATTACTTAGTATACATATAGATCACCCTCTATGTTTGTTTACATTTGAAGTCACGTGGTAAAACTACACAATGAAGTTTATGACCTCCTCGAGTTGCAATCGCAACTTTTCGACCCTTTCCGTCAGTCTTCGGATAAGTTGTTATAGATTATAGACGAAAACGCTCCTATTGCCTCGATTTGTTCCGATTTTCGATTCATTTATTTTTAGAAATCGATAAGGAAACAATCTAAAATTGGTGACCCGGGCGAACCAGAGATTATACCGTAAAACCTGTCCAAAAGATCATTGGTTTATTTCATCATGTTGTTACATGTATTAATTATATTAGTTATTACATCGATCTCCGGTTATTCCAGCTAGCCAGAACAACTTGATTTACGGCTACTGCTGATGAAACAATAATCCGACGACTAATTTAATATACGGTCGTGTATGGTATGTCCGTGTGCCCGCTGGTATAGGTGTGTTCGTCGTAAATTCTCTGATATTTTTCCGACGTAAAGCCGAAATCGAACTTTAAATGGTCATTTCAGCTCATATCTATTGATATTTTCGGCTGGCCTCAGTCAACCCAAGGCTCAATTTTGTATGGTTTTGCATATGGTGGCATGCTTAGGGGTCCGGTATGTATCTGTTGGTATATATATATATATAAATGTGTGCCCGCGGGAATACTCTGTTACTTTGTTGACATTAAGGCAAAAGTAACCGAAAATGATTATTTTAGTTCAAATATTTGAAATTCAGGCTGGCATCAGCAGTTTAAGACCATCGGCTTGATTTATATCCATGAATCCATATCTTTTTACTTTTTCAGCCATCAATGTTGAATTTCCTTATAAACGGCAATTTTTATATGTTTATAACACAGGATGTAATTTATAGGCTTCAGTGTTGCGTTCAGCTTTACCAGTTTTATCCCTTAATGATTTGTTTAAGAAATCTAGGTAGCAGAACACGGACTGACAATATTGTATGACACATAATATTGTAAAACTATTTTAGAATGTTTTCTTTTGATAAAGATCTACAGCGTAAAAAAGCAGAATTTCATTGCATTGATGTTTACAACTGACAAATGTAAATGTTTTTAAGGCAATTAAATCATTCACATAGATCCATTTGTTTAACTTGATTACAAAAGTCACGCAAGTAAATTTACTGTCGAAGATGGAACACTCTTTAAGTGGGTGTTAGGGGAAAAATAGGTAACGCCTAAATGCATATACTTTTAAAATGTCTCGTGTGTTTTATTTTCATGTGTCGCTAGAAGGAAATCTTCCATTAGAAAGTTTTACCGCAGTTAAATTAATTAAAATCTTTTTTTCGCCTTCAAATTGTAGAAAATCCACAGTGATTTATTTTCAGGTTTTACCACCGATTAAGCGCTATTCCCCACCCAAAATAGGGATATTTGTCCCTAAAAATGCATATATTTTCCCCTAAAATGCCTCGTGCTCTTCCTTACCAGAACCATGACTTAACAGCATCAGCTAGAAGACAGAAATCTGTCCCTAGAGATGGTCTCTGCTATGTACCATGCATGTTAAATTGAATTGAAATCATTTTTTTTTCCATAAAATGTGTGAGTAAATTCCATTTTCAGTTGTTTGAATTTGATTTCAGGTTTCCACCTTTTCTGATTTATCGCGCTATATCCCCCCCCCCCTTCAGAAAGCCACAGGTTGTTTTGAAAATTGGAGAAAAAAATCACTGATACATCATCTCAATGCTATCATATATTGGTCCTGTAAGAAAATTGACTCAATCGCCACATGTTTTGAAGACATAATATTGTAAGGTGGTGACTGAGCGATGTGTGCACTATTCATTATTTCATAAGAACAGACTTGTTGCTTATGAAGGACCATCTCTTTCAACATTTTCTAAGAAACATGTTGTTTGTTTTGTCCATCTTCAACAAATGCTTAAAACGGTAAAGACTTTAAGGTGAGGTGACATAGATTGTTCCCATATTCAAGTGCATTAATATGCACTAAGTTATTAGTTTAGTACAAAACAATTCATGCATAAATCCATGATGGCTCCATTTATATTTTCAGACATAAACAGGATGGCAAGTAAATGTATGAGAGAAGAAGACCCGACACTTCTAGAGTTTAAAAGTAGAATATGCATGCATTCCATTAAAGATACTAATGTATGCTGGATCACTGCCATGGTATTTTACCAACCATGCTCTATCTATGTAACAGACTACAATAACAAGGCACTAAAAATGGCAAACACCTCGTTTAATAAACTATCCGATAGGATAAGCCTGGATGGCCATCCTTGGGATATTACAGGAATGTTTCATGATACAGTTGCAGTTACACTTCCCAATGAAAAAAGAATTCAGTTAGTTGATGTTACGGCAAAAGGATGGAGAATAAAAAGAACATTAAGGTTTGATAAGCAATATTGGGGAATAGGTCACTGTAAGCCAAATTTTATTGTTTCTTCGTTGTCACCCCCAGCGCTTCACGTCATGAATAGACAAGGTGAGGTACTGAAAACGATAAGGAAAAATGATAGAGATGAAGAAATCTTTAGGCGACCCATGTTTATCCAAACAAATTATACGTCTATTGTGGTGTCAGACAGAGATAAGAAGGCAGTTATAGTCTTAGACCTGAATTGCAAGGTTCAGAATTATTACAGAACAAATTCAGACCCAAGAATAGTGGCTTTAGCGGAGGGCGGATCAAATGCAGACCCAAGAGGAGTGGCTTTAGCGGAGGGCGGATCAAATGCAGACCCAAGAGGAGTGGCTTTAGCAGAGGGCGGATCAATGTTTGTTAGTACGATCAATGGAAATGAAAAGAATGTTATAGCGATATCGAAGAAAGGCTCTCAAAGATTTGTTAAACTAGATAGCCTCGATGATCCGTATGCACTCAGCTACTTCTTTCAAGGACGAGAACTGTTCGCGAGTTCCTATTCTGAAATTGCAAAACTAGATAACTATGTTTATATGTACAAACGATGTGATTAAGAAAGAACTGTATCAAAAGTGAATTGATTATTTTCAAGTTTAGGTTAACTCGAAATTTTTCGAGAGACTTAAAAGTTCTGAAATAGTTAGATCATTATCACTTTTGATAAGAATTTATTGGAAATAATCAAAATGCCATGTGAATAAATATGTTGAGATAGCATGTAGCTTAAGAAAGAATAATCTGTTTTAAATTTTTGACTTTTGGTTAATTTCTTATTTATTGTTTGTGGTTTTCAAAATGCTATCCCTTAATAAAAATTGCCCGAGTATGGAAAACTCAATTATATTCATTACATATAATGTACTTTATGAAGAAATATTGGTGTAATATTAAAGATAAACAATGCTAAAGGAAATAGGATAAAGAAATCTCATGTTCTGTATTTTTGTGAATTCATGTTTTTTTTTCTTTTTCATTTGTAACTTTATATTTTGGAAAATTTGTCCGATCTTTTAAGTTGACTCCAACACATGGTATTTTATCAGTCGTGCATCTGAGTTGAGTTATGCTGTTTAGCAAATGATTTATCAGGTACAAAATGTACGAATTTATCAATTATTCACCAAAATCCCACAAACGTAGCAACCATTTTTTAACCACTTAAGCATACGAAACAGGTAAAATAATGTAAGTTGTGGAAAGGATAAAATTCTTCACTTGAATTTACTGAAGCTAAGATCCACCCCGTGAATAAAATATTTTATTCGGAGTTTTCTAATTTGAAGCGTATAAAATAAATATTGTTTTAAGATTTTCTAATATTTATAAAAAAAGACATGAAATACAAATCAGCTATAATTTTCAATCAAAAGCTTTATAATTTATTATTATGGTAGAAATTAATTATACATGTATATCTATTGTGTTTTTTTAAAAATAAATTATTTGATGAAATTAAAAGTAGAATCGAGAATTGGATTTCAAAGGGTAATGGATATCTACAATTGAATCATTTGTAAAATGCAAAATATACCCTCTTACCGCGTCAAACTTCAGTAAGTTGTAGGAGCCTTTAAAAAAAGCCACCAATTCCATTTTTGTCACGCTAGTTTAAGTAATTTTTACCCATATGTCTACGCCTTTTAAATTAATGAAATATATCTTAAATTGTTACAGTTTTTAAAAGGTTCCAAAATGTATGTGTTTCGTTTTTGATTTAAAGTTTGCATTTCGGCATGGCAAAACTGTATTGCCACGGCAAACTTCGTAACTTTGTCACAACAATCTTTTTACTTTATTTCAAAAGTGCACCAAACGTATTGAAAATGTTTCTAACACAGCTTTAGAAGCCATTGTTATGTTTAATTGATAACTTGAAACCTTATAATAATGCCATGGCAATGATGTAGCTAAAAACTTGTCATGATAATCAACGGAAAAATCATACAATTATTAAGAAAGGATTTATTTCGAACATCCTGACCTGAAATTCATAAATATCAGCAACATCGTCATCATCAGCATCATCATTATAATCATCGTCATCGTCGTCGCTGCCGAAATCATCAACATAATAATCACCATTTGTCGTATACTGCTAATTCAGAAAACAGTATTGATTAACAGTCAATTGCTTGGATATTCAGAAATTGATAAAAACTGCTGTTTACTCAGACAAGGTGGAATGATATTATAAAATTGTTTTAAATTCGGTGTAAAAACAAACGAACAGAAAAACAAACAATCCACCGTCATCATCACCATCATCCTTATTGTCATCTTCACAAAAAGCATCATACCACCATCCTAATATGTATTCTGCACAACATTTTCAGCCTTATAATTTTCATCATCATCATCGTCATCATCATCATCCCTATTACAATAGTAATGAAAATGATAATAATTTTGATAATAATAATGGTAGTAATAATTATCATTATCCTGATCATCATCTAATCATCGTTACAAACTTTATTCCAACCATCATTATTATCGCCAGTATAACCATTCACTGCAATTCCGTCATCTTCTTTATTATCATCATGATCATCCTCATGATCATCAATATTTTCATTATTTACATCCAAATTATCATCATTTCACTAAGAAGAGTAATGATAAAATAATGATAATTATTATCATCATTTTATCATCATAATCTTTCACATTCCCTTTATCACCACCACCATTCGTCACCACTATGATGTGGCAAAGGGGTTGCCGGTAAGTGTTGAGGTATCAGAATTGCATCCTTGCGTGATCGCAATGTTAGCTTTTGACTTATTTATGTTCATAATTATCAACTTTAGGTCGGTTAAACTAAACATTTGTATGTGAATAAAATTTCGACGCGTCCGAAAAGGCTGTTGAAATAAAACACGATCCCAGTTGTTTAAAAATAAATTCCTTTTATGGTTGGAATAAAAGAAAATCGGAACCTCGAGGATGACATTAGGTCTGCTTCATGTATAATGACGGAAAGAAAGAAAGTCATGGAACGGTACTAACGTATCACATTGAAGGTTCCATGATAACCACGTACATGTATGTACACATCTGTGGATGTTTCAAAATTCTAAATTATACCAGTTCATGTTAAATGTTGAATACTTCTAAAGCCGGTGCTAGGGGAGCATGGACGGTAACTTGCACTTTCCATTAGCGTTCATGAAAGGGTCAATCAAACCGAGCCTGAAACATTTTCAAATTTGTCGTTTTGACCGTTCTTTAGGGATTCTATATTTCTCTCTATTTTTCGTAAATGGAGAAAGGACGTAATGTGCCACATTTTACACATGGATGACAAGTCACAAATTGACTTGAAATATTATTAAAGAAATTAAAAATTTAGCAATGATGATGGTGATAACGATGTGAAAATAATAACAATAATAACGACGATGACAATGATGATAAAGATGGAAACATCTCAACCACCACCATCAGAAACAAAAACAACTACGAACACGACTATGACGACCACCACAAACAACAATAAATAAATAATAACACTAATGCCACAACTGTTTAATGTATACATTATTCAAAGTCGCACCCTAGTCATCATACATACCACATATACAAAGTACTTTTAAAATCTTACTGGCTTAAACCAATGAAACATGGTGTCATTGTGTACCACGGCATGTGCTCTCTCACATATTCATTTTGTATTGCAAATCGTGTACAACTCAGTATGTTTAAAGTCACACTACGTTCTCATATGATTTTCTCTAAATTGGCAATCTTTGTTGGAGATATATAAGCCATAAATCTATTAGATGTAGGAAGCGTTAAAGACGAACCAGGGTACATATCAGAGTGTTAATAAAAATGATGGCGATATAACCAAGCAGATGATTTTATTCCTGGTTTGAACAACTTCTGGATAAAAAAAACATAATTATCACCTCTGCACAGGGGGTAACGTTATAATCTTTACCCCCGGTGCAGAGGTGATACAAATGCTGGTTATTAACGTAAAGAACTTGTGAAATTTTCAGCAGATAAAAAGCATGTTTTATTTAGCTTGTATTTATATATCCTAAGCAAAGGTTGTAGACCAATTGCTGAATAGATAATATCCGAATTCAAAATAATCCATTTGTAGCCTTTTTAGAACATTTTTATATATGTAACTAGATAGATTGATTACTTAATCAAGTGAAACACTTCTGATAATAAGCCGAAAAGTCATTCCTACATACCTGGAATAATCGATTGATTTTTTAATCAAGTGAAACACGTAGATATGCTTTTGTCCATATAGCAAAGGGGAAAATATTAGGCTTGATTTTGTGTATTTTTTGTTTTAACAAAATCACACTGTTTTCAAATTTTCTAATAAAAATAGCTTTTCTGATGTACAACATGTCACAGAGCTTTAAGGGATTAGAATGAACGTTCAACTGAAGTGATAGTGCCATGTTTGAATATCATATTCTTCTTAGCATTATCTAATTTTATCTACCTAATAAAATAAATGGTGTCATACTGTACCGCAGCATTTGTTCGCTCACATATTCATTATGTATTGCGAATCGTGTACAACTCAGTATGTCTAAAGTCACACTAAGTTCTCAATATGATTTGTTCTTAATTAGCAATCTTTGCTGGAGATATATTAGTCATGTATCTTATAGATATAGGAAGTGTTAAAGACGTACAGGGGTACATATTAATGTGATTATTAGAACGATGGAAATATCATCAAGCAAAAATCAAGCAGCTGATTTTATTCCATGTTTGACCCTCTACTGGTTAATAACCATATTTTTAATCATTATCTCCTGTGCAGAGGTGATACGAATGCTGATTATTGACGTGAAGAACTTGTGAAATGTATTGCAGATAATAAAAACATGTTTCATTTAGCTTGTATTTATATATTTCAAGCAAAGGTTGTTGACCAATTGCCGAATAGATAATATCAGAATTCAAAATTATCCATGTGTAGGCTTTTCAGAACATTTTTTTATGTAACTAGATATATTGATTACTTAATCAATTGAAACACTCCTGATGTCACTTCAGTTATAATCCTTAAAATCTATTCCTACATTCCTGGAATAATTGATTGATTTTTTAATCAAGTGAAACACGTAGATATGCTTTTGTCCATATAGCAAAGGGGAAAATATTAGGCTTGATTTTGTGTCTTTTTTGTTTAAACAAAATCACACTGTTTTCAAATAGCTTTTCTGACGTACAACATGTCACAGAGCTTTAAGGGATTAGAATGAACGTTCAACTGAAGTGATAGTGCCATGTTTGAATATCATATTCTCGGTATCATTATCTACCTAATAAATAACGTGCCAATAAGCCAGTCTATAGTAGATCGCTTTAAAACTTAATCGTTGAGAGAGGTAACGACTGAGATAGTGTCACTCACTTCATTTGCTCCGCCTCTGTTGAAGTTCGGCTTCGGCTTAAATTGTCGCCAAATTTAAATATGATGCTCCGTATGCTAGCATTTAGTCTTTGTTGACGAGGCGAAAGGGAACCAGGACAACTTTGATCAATATCACTTGTCGAATCATTAAAGTACAAGCTACAAATCCTAAACCGCGTCCACTATCAAAGGGCGGTTCTCCCTCAAACGTTAAGAAAGTAAGCCAAACCTGCGCACCGGTTGCGCGGAGAACACTGCAGAACAGTTCGTCCCTTAAAATCATTGGAATATTATGCAATTCGCATCAATATTTAAATAGACATATTCTCGGCACATGGTGTCTTGAATTTATTTTAAGTGTACATGTACCAATCATTTCAATTTTACATATTATCCCATTTATTTTACTTTGACCAGACGTTTCAATCTTTGTCGCAACAGACATTCATTTCAGAATTTCAGACACGGCATTTCTTCGTACTTTGTCAATTTATGCATTGCGTTTTGCTTTTTCACAAAAAATATGCATTTAAAAACGAGCACATATTAAGAACATGGGAAAAAAAGATTTGTGCTTCGGATATTCAACTGTAATAGAGAACGATTTTCAATGCTGATTGACTGTTCAAATCATTGGCGGTGTCATTGATGTACAGCATCAACATTTAACTTGTAATGTTCTTAAGTTATAAGCCTTAAATTCATTCCTTCAATCCTAAAAGAATCGATTGATTATATTATCGAATGAAATACTAGAAATAAACTTCAGTAATAAGCCTTAAATTCATTCCAAAAATAATTGATTGATTTTTTAATCAAATGAAACACTTATGATGTTACTTCAGTAATAAGGCTAAAGTTAATTACAAAATTCTTTAAGTGAAACGTCATAGTTTGATTTAAAACTCAATTGGTACTACATATATGTAACAATTTCATTATATATATCTTAACAGCTTAATTAAAAGCTATAGACAAATTAAACAGAGGATATATGTGTGTGTTTCGCATATGATGAAATTTTATTTAGAGAGCGAACTTGAAAAAACAGTTAATGTCAACTTCATGCACTCAAAACCGCAACAGGATAAAGACTTTAGAACAGACAAGGCAGAGAAATAGACTGATGATGATGATAAAAATGATGATGAAGATTATGATTATGATGATGATACTAACAACAGCACCAGCGACATCAACAAAAACAACTACAAACAACGCAACCACCGTCACAACCACCACCAACAACAACAATATAAATTAAAATTAAATAAATGAATAAATAAATAATAGTAATACCGTAATGGTTTTATGTAAAGATTAACCCATAACCCGATATACACGCCTTTTAACGCCTTTTCATCCCCTTTTTGTTGTCTCGAATGATGAAAAATGCCTTATTTAGGCCCCCTAAATCTTGTTTAAAAAAGTGACCACTTTTTTGGTGCGGCCCCCTATCCAAAAGATATATCAAGGGGTTGCCAGAAGGGGGATGTGCCCCTTTTTGTTTTGGGAGTTTTGGGCGGTAGTCCCCCTCATTGCCAAGGAAATTTTGGACTTGTGTGAGGCTGTAAAAAACCCCAGATCGATCAAAAGGTAAAGTGTAACCAACGCTGAAAGGCATTTGACTCTATCTCAATCCGTTGAGAAGTAACAGCATTTTGAAATCAATTTTGATGGGAAAAAATCAATGCAAA